AGAATGTGACCTTATCATGTGACAATATTAACCAATCACATTACTTGAAATAATACATTACCAGTTAGTTGTGATCTGAAAGCAACAATCTGAGTACTGAATGTATGACGTGAATATTAACAGTGACAAGCGGTTTTCGAATACTGTTACTTGGTTTTGTTGAAAACTTTTCTACGACATATTTTTCTAATTTAGAGAGCTGTAGACTTGCCTGATTAAAGCAGTAAGATTAGACATGGTGGTACCTAAACTATTAACATCGCCAAAACCATTTCGTTAAAAATATCAGCTGATTAGTCGAATTAAAACGAATTCATTTGCGTTAGCTACAAAATTATTCCATATACACCGTAGGCTCTTTGTTAAATATGCACATCGATGTATTCACTGACAGACTGATCATTTTGTATGCATTATTTGCTTCGGTTCCATAAACACCGCAACATTTTAGTGTCCAACTGGTCCATGAAGCTAGGTTGTCAATGATATTATATATTTTACAGATTGAGCTAACAGTGTATAAGGTTTTAAATCTTCTGTGATAAATATGATAATATATTATACAAGTTTGTTAATTAAAATATTTTTGTTATTGATTGATTTTATATCAAGGGTGTAGGATGTGTCACCGAAATCCCAGAAATGAAACGCATTATATTGATTATGCCGCACTGCTCTATGCATCTGTTTTGTCAAAAATCCAGAGATTTAAGGAATTGCAACAAATTAAGTTTCCTATGTTAATATTCAGCATGCTAGAAAGAAAGGAAAATGTCTTTATGTGACTTGTACAGGTCAAATAATACAGCGACTGATGAAAGGTCGACAATTCTAAACCTAAGATATATGGATATACTTCTTCTGTAAAATACGGTAAAGTACAGTACAGTAAAATGATAACGTTACCTGTATGTGTTCCGAAACGTAGTATGTAATAAATGCAGAAGTAGTATATCTATATATCTTAGTGTTTTATTGTAATCTTCCTACTTCTATATGTCTTATAAAAAATAATTCTAAACCTGTCGCACATTATAGCACGATAGTAGCGGTGATTAAGATCAACAAGCATCTTTCAAAGGTCAAATATAACAGCAAGTAGCTGGTCTTAGATGTCAATATATTCCGATGAAAGCGTACCATTTCGGACCATACGTCACGTGACCCAGTCTTGGAAAGGTGTAACGAGCAGAGTTGTGTTGGATACTTGTCCAGTAATTCATTTGCCATCTGTTTCCATTTTAAATCACGAAATTCAGCCTTCTATAACTATTTCCAGAAATCTCGTTGAAAACTTTTTAACATGTCACATAAAAGCCTGGCCAATGCTTAGTATCTGGACAAAAAATTAGTCAAAAATTGCCATGCAAAAACCTCAAAAGGGAGGGAGAAAGAGGATTTATGAAAATAACACGGACTACAATCATGAGCATACAATCATTCATTCTCTCATACAGAGCTGTCGTTCCTTGCAGTCGCATTACATGGAACAACGACTCTATGAGAGATTGACAATCATTGGCATAAAATGTTTTACTGGAGTCGGTCCTATATTGCAGAATTCGCTGATAGAGAGTTGTCGTTCCTTGAAGTCACATTCATAGAGAAAATACGCTACGGGGCTGACTTACGTCACTGAAGCCTCAGATTCACATGGAAAGGGACTACAAGGAAAGACAACTCTGTATGAGAGATCGATAATCAATCCGGGAATTGAGGATATAATAACCGAACCCTATAGTGCAGTTTAGTAAGTCGTGGTCATTGCAAAAAACGCTTCCTCTTATGGAAGGATACACGAGAGAAAAAATCTGGCTTGAACAGTTTTAATGGACCACTTATAACACCAGCATTATATTTCAACCGGTAGGAATCTGATATAGGATTAGTCTAGTATAATTCGAGTGTTTTCATAACACGGCGTTGATGAGAACTATTGCGTTTATTGTTCGTTTGTTTATTTACATGGTTACGGTTTTAAGTGCCGTGGGTTTCGAATCACGGAGTTAATATTAGATATGGGTCATCTTCACAATGTCAAGCTATTACGAAACTTCGTCGTATACCTTGACTGCAATAGCCACTGTTATTGTATTACGGAATGCAGTCATTTGATTGGATATTGGATTGTACCCCAGCGACAGAACCATCGACAGAAGGCTGTAAATATTGTTTACAGGGTCATCTTCAATATGTCAAGCTATTACGATCTTCGTCTTATACCTTGACTGCAATAGCCACTGTTATTGTATCACGGAATGCAGTCATTTGATTGGATATTGAATTGTACCCCAGCGACAGATGTAAGTATCGGCTGTAAGTATTGTTTACAGGGGGGTACCAAGACCTTGAAAATGAATCAAAACAATACAAAAACAAGATGCATCCTGGGAGCTATACATATCATTGTATAAAGAGATGGGCGAAGCTCTATGCTGGTAGCTATACATGTCAAGAGGCAATAACCCACATTAAACTGAGGTAGGGAATAAGAATTCCCTCCTTGACCTTCTGATTTTTGACAAAACAGATGCATAGAGCAGTGCGGCATAATCAATATAATGCGTTTCATTTCTGGGATTTCGGTGACACATCCTACACCCTTGATATAAAATCAATCAATAACAAAAATATATTTTAATTAACAAACTTGTATAATATATTATCACATTTATCACAGAAGATTTAAAACCTTATACACTGTTAGCTCAATCTGTAAAATATATAATATCATTGACAGGAATGACAAGAGACAGCATTGGAATAAAATTTCAAAATTTAAGTTCATATAGGCCTACCTGTTTGACACCCGCGATAGTGCCACCCACAAAAAAATAGAGCATTTAAGGCATGCAAATGGCCGTCTACCAGTGAATACATCGATATACATATTTAACAAAGAGCCTTCGGTGTATATGGAATAATAAACAGTTAACGCAAAATTCTTTTTAATTCGACTAGTCATTTCATATTCAGGCAAGTCTACAGCTCTGTCAAAATTAGAATTTTACATCGTGGAAAAGTGCCTACATCCACCTCGTCACGTGGTTAGTGACTCGGTTTCATCAAGGCTATAAATAGAAAACAGGATGAGAATGTTCAAATCACATCGGAAAATCTCTACAATATTCCCTTAATCATACGCTTCTTAAAGTCGAATTTCAACAAATCTTGGTTAGACTTCTATTATATACAAAATATACCGTATCAACCAGCTAATAGTGGTTCGTAGCCTGAATTACTTCCCTTTATCTAAATATCAGCTGTATACCAATACAGCGTCCTACAGGAAAGGTGTAACTCGACTCTCGATACCAATTGAAGCTTTTAAAAATGGGCGGAAAACTATTATCAATATCATTAAACACAAACATATTGATGTGCTGTTTAATAGAGCTCAATCTAGATATTGATGTGCTATTTAATAGAGCTCAATCTAGATATTGGTGTACTATTTAATAGAGCGCAATCTAGATATTGATGTACTACTTAATAGAGCTCAATCTAGATTTTGATGTGCTATTTAATAGAGCTCAATCTAGATATTGATGTGCTATTTAATAGAGCTCAATCTAGATATTGATGTACTATTTGATAGAGCTCAATCTAGATATTGATGTACTATTTAATAGAGCCCAATTTAGATATTGATGTACTATTTAATAGAGCTCAATCTAGAATTGATGTACTATTTAATAGAGCTCAATCTAGATATTGATGTGCTATTTAATAGAGCCCAATCTAGATATTGATGTACTATTTAATAGAGCTCAATCTAGATATTGATGTACTATTTAATATAGCTCAATCTAGATATTGATGTACTATTTGATAGAGCTCAATCTAGATATTGATGTGCTATTTAATAGAGCCCAATCTAGATATTGATGTACTATTTAATATAGCTCAATCTAGATATTGATGTACTATTTAATATAGCTCAATCTAGATATTGATGTACTATTTAATAGAGCTCAATGTCAGCCAGAAACACTAAAACATAAAAATACATTGATAAGTTAAGTCCACACATCTGTACAGTTTTAGAATAGTCGAGTGGGAGAAGAATCATTACAAGTGTCCTTTTATCCTCTTCCCCCATTGTGAAAAATGTCAAAAATTCAGGGATGGCTGCTAGAAAAACCAACTTAAGAAATCTGAATGACCGTGATAATAGTCATATAAGGAATATAGCAGTCCAATATACAGACAACTGTATTCCCCCTTTGACTTATTAACATCAATGAGAAATTGTAAACATTAAAATCATCAAGTTAAAACGAACTGAGGACGTTCTCTGCAACAATCCCTGATATTTGGACACAAAGATCGACCGCTTCATCCTGATGACAACAGCTCATTTGTCAAGAGGATTTGAAATTGGTCGATTCTCGGACTACTAGTTTAGTCTTAAAACCTCGCATCTGTTTATACTAATATCGGAGTTTGTGTAAAAATAATCAGAGAGAAACATGTAAATAACGTTATGGATTTGTTAGTTGTTGCACCGTTAGGTTTACTAGTTGTTGCATCGGTAGATTCGCTAGTTGTTGCATCGGTAAATTCACTAGTTGTTGCATCGGTAGATTCGCTAGTTGTTGCATCGGTAGTTTCACTGGTTGTTGCATCGGTAGATTCGCTAGTTGTTGCATCGGTAGATTCGCTAGTTGTTGCATCGGTAGATTCGCTAGTTGTTGCATCGGTAGATTCGCTAGTTGTTGCACCGTTAGGTTTACTAGTTGTTGCATCGGTAGATTCACTGGTTGTTGCATCGGTAGATTCACTGGCTGTTGCATCGGTAGATTCACTGGTTGTTGCATCGGTTGTTTCACTGGTTGTTGCATCGGTAGATTCACTGGTTGTTGCATCGGTAGTTTCACTGGTTGTTGCATCGGTAGATTCGCTAGTTGTTGCATCGGTAGATTCACTGGTTGTTGCATCGGTAGTTTCACTGGTTGTTGCATCGGTAGATTCGCTAGTTGTTGCATCGGTAGATTCACTGGTTGTTGCATCGGTAGATTCACTGGTTGTTGCATCGGTAGATTCATTGGTCGTTGCATCGGTAGTTTCACTGGTTGTTGCATCGGTAGATTCACTGGTTGTTGCATCGGTTGATTCACTGGTTGTTGCATCGGTAGATTCACTGGTTGTTGCATCGGTAGATTCACTGGTTGTTGCATCGGTAGATTCACTGGTTGTTGCATCGGTAGTTTCACTAGTTGTTGCGTCGGTAGATTCATTGGTCGTTGCATCGGTAGTTTCACTGGTTGTTGCATCGGTAGTTTCATTGGTCGTTGCATCGGTAGATTCACTGGTTATTGCATCGGTAGATTCATTGGTCGTTGCATTGGTAGTTTCACTGATTGTTGCATCGGTAGTTTCACTGGTTGTTGCATCGGTAGATGCTGCAAAAGATTAGTTAAATGGTTCAACAATGTATAATCATGGTACAGTCTACAAATTGTTGTTATCAGGACGACTGAGAATGCCATGTATTTTTTATGGTTTAAAAATATTTTAAGAATAGAATCAGGCAAAATAGACCCAAACTTGGTCAGTGGTGGCTGCACAACTTTAGATTGGATGCGATTTTTTGGAAAAAGGGCCATATCTTGCATTTCATGCAATTTTAGAAAGTATTCTTGAAAGGACACTACAGATTCGCGTGCTAATTAAGCAGTTGTGATGCCATCCACTCGAGACTGGGGTTACAAATAGGGGACAGACTGTCTCAGTGGGGGACGGGACGCGGGGGGACAACTGTCGAGACTGAATTCAAAATGCTGTGTAGATCACGTCATAGTCACTAGCCTCTTAGTGTCTAAGAGTGGTCTCACATGAAAATTTTCGAAAAATTGATTTGGTGTATTCTGATACATATGTTGTGGCAAAAATGTTTAAAAAGTCACAGACCTGTAGTGATCATGTTTTGAATTACGGAACCGTTACCCTTAGTGACCCCCCACCCCCTCCTTCGGGCCTTTAAAAGGTCTTATTTGGAAGTGAAAATTAAGCTCTGTAAATGCTAATCCTATCAGAAATCCGTTGGCTCAGACCTCTCATTTTTGGCCCAACCTTTAATTATTTTCCTGTACTCTTACAATCTTACCTATCATGGCCAACAATAGAATGTGTTTGAACATTTCTCTTCCCTTTGCCATCTTTATATTCTTGGTCTGAAATACATCAAGATAGACTTACAACCCAAATACAAACGATTCGAATCCGAAATAAAAAATAAGAGCTTGGCAACATATTGGTGTAAGCAATGAACTTTTCTCATCGAAACCTTACATCAATCAAACTTTCTCTTTAGTTATATACAATATATCAAATAACCAATATTAGGTAGGCCCCACACGACCCGCACGACTGTGGGGATGGGGGAGGGGGAAGACTGACTCAATGGGGGGACAATGTCGAGACTGATTCCAAAATGCGGCAACTCTGCCGAGGCGTCATATTCGCCAGCCTCTCGTAAGGCATCTGATAGGATTCTCCAAAGAAATTTGTCGAAATATTGAATTGATATGGTACATTCTGATACATATTTTGTGTCAAAACGTATTTTCAAATTTGTGTTTTGTTTTGCCACGGTTCTCACGTCAAGCTAGGGTGAACGAAAGTCGTTTCGTTACTTTCAATAAAGGTGCGTCCCTATGTGTGACGCTTTGCAGGCCGGAGCATTACGGCACGTTGAGTTGGAATTGATGTATTCCAATGCTGAAATCCATAGTTTCTACTTATGACCTAGGCCAGTGCTTCTATAGGAGAATATAGATCTGTCTCTTATAAAACCTTACACTAGACTTTCAATGTAATATATTTTCGCATGTACTTACGTTCGTGAATTCACGATTTCACGGTTATTTTGTGGTAAATTTTTAAATGTTTTTTTTCACCTGCAATCCCAATTAAAACTTTTTCATAAATTCTAAATCATATATTTGATGCGAATTCACTTCAATATCACGCCGATTAACTTGAAGAACGAGGGTAGCATCATTATCCATAAAAGTGACAAAGGCAGTTGTTGTGGCATACAGGATCGCGCTGACTATATTTTCGAGGTAGTTCTAAAAGACCCGTCGACCCGTCGCGGATGGCCCGTCGTCGGTCGCAGAAGGTCCGTCGCCCGTCGCCCGTCGAGGCAACCTTACAAACAGGTAACCAAGACTAATACATAGCCAAAAACGAATATTTGTTAATTTTTACCAAAACATCAATAAAAAGACAAATTTCTTGTAGGAAAATACAAAAAAAAATAATAGCTCTTATTCTATTGACAAAATACATATATATTTTGGGGATAAAGAAGACTTTTTTTTCATCAAGGAAAAAATATCTATTGAACATGTGACGCATCACGCTGAACCGACTCACTTCTTTAAAAAATCCGCAGCTTCATAGAATGATTTAAGCTAAATTAAAACATCTTTCTCAATAATAACAGTTTATTAATACTTAATTAGAGAAGTGATTTACTTTGAACAATCAAATCAATTCAATATGTTTTTAAAGTGACATTTTGTAATTATTATTTCATTGTTTATGTTTTGCTATAACTTCCGCTCCACTACGCATGCCCACAGACCCGTCGCCTGTCGTGAAGAGCTGACGGTCCGCCAGTTAAAATGTAAACAACCGTCGTCCGTCGAGGCTACTGTCCTTTTTTTAACTGATCCGTCGCCAAAACACTTGAGGTAGAGAACAAAGAATAAATGATGCAGTTTTAGATTTTTATTTCTAATCTAATTCTAGTCCGTCGCCCGTCGAGACTACTGTACAATTTATAACTGACCCGTCGCCAAAACACAAAGCATAAATGATTCAGTTTTCGATTTTCATTTAGATATTTATTTCACGATTAGAATATTTAATACGTTTTCTTTTTTTATTGGCTGCGTACATATTATGGCTCCACGGCCCGTCGATCATTTAGATATTTATTTCATGATTTGAATATTTAAAAGGTTTAGAAAAGTTGAACCATTTTCAATCTTATTTGTTTGCGTTTTCTTTTCATTGACTGCGTACATATTATGGCTCGAAGACCCGTCGCCTGTCGAGGAACATTATCATAATATCCGTCGCCAGTCGAGGCTACTGTACAATTTTATAACTGACCCGTCGCCAAAAATTTATGAAACAGAGAACAAAGCATAAATGATTCAGTTTTAGATTTTTATTTCACAACAATATTTCCCAGGTTTTAACTGTCCTGTAGATATGTGTCATAGCTGCACAACCCGTCGACCGTCGGGAAAGGGACCAAAAACCCACTTCAGCCCACGGGCCCCTACTCATCTACAGTTGAGCCATTGCATACCAGTTATGCCATCAGAAACTAAGGATGCAATTTATCGCGACAAACAGTCGGGCAGTGCTTAACGAAATCTAGTTACTGGCTACCGATGTTTAAAAATGTTTTCGACATCACGAACAATTATCCCACGTCTGTTGCTCTTGGATAATCCCTTTTTCAAACACATATCGTCGTCGCCCGTCGCCGGGACCTTATCCGTCGTCAGTAACCCTCAAGATTGGATTAAAACCACAGCCTGTTGCATTTTACTAAATTGGTCTTTCAAGTTCGCGATTACTTAGCTGTTTATCTAATTCGAAAATATCAATTGTTTCTTCAAGACCCGTCGGCCCGTCGCCATCATGTAAACATCCGTCGCCCGTCGAGGCTACCGTACATTTCAAAGAATGTAAACAAAAATCATAGAAAACGAAATATATCGTCACACCTGATTGTGTCGCATCACGCTTCGGATACCTTGTCACATATTATTACGCCGATACAATGATATTATGATATATTTAATTTAGGCTTCTATTCTATGGGCATGTCAGGTTTTTAAACATAGATTTATGGTACTTGTGTATATTTGTGTTATTCTCTAGAATTTTACATTGGATAGCTTCAAAATTATCATTTAGGTGTAATTATTAATATCAGTGGCGGAGCCTAAAGGGGTAAGGGGTGCAGAGACGTAGAATTATTGATACAAAAAGGTGCTAACACAGTTATAACTTGAATTAAATTTAATCTGTTAAGAATAAACTTCAAAATAATACAAATAAAAATTAAATATACACTATTTCCAACTAATGAAGATGTTTGTAGAATAATACTTATGAAATATTCAGATTATGGAATTGTAAACCGTACTCAAGTGATACATCAGAAAAAAATAACATCACATTGAATATTAATTACAGATATACAATTGTATAACTAAAAGTTATTGTTTTTCAAATATCTTGACTATAAAACTGGTAAATTTCTTTAGCTCTTGACTATTGGATAAAATTTACATTGTAAGAGTGGAAGGTTGTTCAAAGTAATATGGTTTCAGATATGCCTTCGCCCCTGTCCGTCCATCCGTCCTTTCGAAATTCATCTTCGGGCAAGTCAATTTCTATGCGCTCAATTGGGATTAGGGTGAGATTGAATGGTCGTCGAGGTTGAAATGATTGAAAACAAGCTTGTCTTTCTTTAATTTGAAAACGACGAAATAAACAGATTAACAAAGATTTTATATTACAATGATGAAGTAAAATAGCCATTTCATTTTTATTTCTCATTTCACAATCGAATATTAGAAAATCACAAAAGAACTGACAAACAGATAAAAATGAAATATAGTTTTACGTTCTACTTTTCAACTGTAGCTTGAGCTAGTGAAGACGGACATCGCCACGCAGACTTTTCCAAGCTCCATCCATTCTGATCTACATCTTTGACTTGGAGACCGAGGTTGTCATTTAGTGAGGGAATCGAAACCCGAACCACTCGAAGTTAAGACGCTTTGATATATCGCTACGAACTCGTTTTAACGGCCATCGTTACGATATAGTACATGGAAAAAACAGACCAATTTCCAATCACTTTAACCAACCCCCGACCATTCCATTGAAAACTTGTTGATTATGCCAATTGAAATACAACCTATGCCGAAAATCAGGCCAAAGCAAAGAAGATTACAACGCGAGAGTTATTGGATAGACCAACTTCAAACTGTATATCTTAATAGCCTAAATATTCCACACGACAACCAGACAATACCCTTCTTTACCACCTACAATCATACTGCCACTACTGCCTCTCATATCATCAGACGTCACTACCAGAATCTTCAACACCAATATCCTCATGTCTACAGCAAGAGACTTGTTACAGCTTACAGAAGAAATAATGCTTCATGAAAAGATTTTGTTTCACAATACAGGCTTTATCTTTAGATGATTATTGATATATCAATATACCGATTCTGAGGCGTCAATTATAAAACTGGAAAGTTATTATTTGATAATATTAAATTTAAAACGACAATGGTATGTTTTAACCAAAAATTGTATTTCAGATTATTTAAAATTAATTGAAAAACAACTTTGTTAAGATTGCCTTAGTCCGACATTAGCACACCGATTCTGCAGTCCAAATTAAAACTTTTTCAGAAATTTTAAATTCTATATTTGATGTGAATTCCCTTCAATACCACACTGATTCTAGTAGCGTCAGTTTTAACACTGAAAATAATTTTAGCCTACCTGCAAGGTTGAGTTGAGTGACGAAACTTGGCAATCACACTGATTAGAATTATAGGAGATCTTGCACTAATATAGTTAAAATTATCTAAGACAACCGATATAAATATTACTTTGCTACAATAATTCAGACCACGGTGGTGTGTGCATTTTTTTTTTTTTTTTTTGGGTGCATTATGATTGCTCAAAAGCAATGTCATAATTTGATGTACTATCCAATTTGTTTAACTCCTTACTATCTTCTACTATTTCATACACAAACTGTATATGAATACAAACATTAAATATTGGTTTACAAGGGTAAAAGACGAGATATATCGCAATTCTCAATGTTTCCTCATTTCACAAAGCATGACTTAGTCCGTCCTTAATGAACGCATTAAATTGCATAGAAATCAGAATTGAAGTTTTAGAATGAATCAGATTAAAAGCTATTAGAATCAAAAGACGGAGATGGGGATGCAGGCTACATAAGCTACATACAGCGCATAGAAATTGACTTGCCCGAAGATGAAACTACCAAATTCCGTCAATCTAGGGAATACAGCAAGACCTATAGGACTAAATATTCACCATAATGTAGGCATAGCACCCTTTGTTGTCCCGTTCAATACAACCAGCAATCGAGCAAGCAAGATAGTTCATGCCCACTATAAGAGCCTTCAAGAAAAATTCCCCCATGTCTATAAGCAGAAAATGATAGTTGCATATTCCAAAAATAAGAACTTAAATGATAATATTGTTCATAGTAAACTAAAAACAATCAGTACATAACAGATACTATACTTCTCGCCAATTGGGTGAGTTATTTTTTCTAATTTCAGATCAGAATCAGAACAGAAGAAAACCCAATATCAAGACCCTTAATCCTAGTTTCTAAATAAAGTGTCTGCTCCACCCTAGGCCTGTACATTTGGGAGAATCAAACCCTCCCTTCCCCGAAATCTAATTAAGGTGGGTTTGTTTCAAGAGGAGTTATATTTCATTTGTAACATGTCAATTCTTGAAGAAAAATTCATGTGACGCGGAAACATTTGGTATCCTGTATAAACATAATACATAATAAACTTATTTTTTTTAACATTCCAAGCTACTCTTTATCAGATTTCATATTCTCGTTATAATGTAACCTTTTTTTTTAATTCCCTCAAATGCATATTTTTTTCAAAAATTAAAACACTGGCTATTTGCACCGTCACGATGCATGTTTTCTATGGCTGATAACAACGGTACGGATAAGATAAGACACAATAGGAGCGCTAGTTTTTTTTTTAAAGCGTGAAGCCATTTTGATTGTCAAGAATGATATTGAGTGACTTTGTTAGTGTTAGGAAGGGATGGTCATATGTCGCGGTACGAATTGTCATGGCCAAAATTAATTACTTATTTGGCCTAATTAGCTTGCTTAGAATTTATCGCAAAATAGTTTGAGGTCGTTTCCTGTAGTTTTCACGTTTTCATTGGTTGTTTCTTGGTCGTTCCTGATCGTTTCATGTTTTAGTAAGTACGCCGATATGTGTGTTTTACTGACTTGGTTTTGTAACGTAACGGATATGACAGGATATACTGTATCTCCTAAACTACCATTCTGGGCAAACAACAACAACTCTCCTGTCTGATTTAACATGCTGTAACCTGTGGGGTGAGGCGCAGTAGTAAGAGAATACGTTAAGAACATAATTACATATTATGCCCTATAATGATTTTGATAATTTATTATATCACTATACAGAACTAAAATTATAAACTGAATAGGCATTATAATCAGGCCCGTACTATAGCCAGACGTAATTATTCGGAAAGGGGGGGGGGGGGAGGGTGGGGTAAGTGATATATTCGGAGGGGCAATGGGGGAATAGGGGTGGTCGATTAAAGGAAGATGTGAAATATTCATTTGGAACAATCTAGACAATCAAGTAGGGGAAATACTTGAATATTCATACCGCAATTGCTTTGATTGCTTCGGAAACATATGTTTTTTGGGTCTATAATATAGGCCATAAAAGCGTTTTGGTTTGGTCTTATTTCTATTTTATTGGTATTAACTTTAAGTGTCCTTATTACTTCGTATTGGCCTTATTACCCTAAATACGAACCTATTGCTATAGTTTTAATACTGGCGATGGGGGGTGGGGGGGGTGCATTTGACAAATATAAAGATTAAATAAACATTATTAGCTATGTGGACTCTCTGAGAGTGATACGGAGTTGGCAAATATATATATTAAGTAAACATTATTAACTATGTGGACTCTCTGAGAGTGATACGGAGTTGGCAAATATATATATTAAGTAAACATTATTAACTATGTGGACTCTCTGAGAGTGATACGGAGTTGGCAAATATATATATTAAGTAAACATTATTAACTATGTGGACTCTCTGAGAGTGATACGGAGTTGGCAAATATATATATTAAGTAAACATTATTAACTATGTGGACTCTCTGAGAGTGATGCGGAGTTGGCAAATATATATATTAAGTAAACATTATTAACTATGTGGACTCTCTGAGAGTGATGCGGAGTTGGCAAATATATATATTAAGTAAACATTATTAACTATGTGGACTCTTAGAGAGGGATAGGGAGTTGGCAAATCTAATTACAAAATAAATATTATTAGCAATGGGTACTCTAGAATAAGCATCATTAGTTATGCGGACATGTTGAGAGACGTACCGTGTTGTCACTAGTTACGATGGGGGATAATTGATACAGTAGAAACAAGAGGAAGCAAATACAAGTAGTACGGTTTCCGATGTTGGAAAATAAAAGTAAAATAGAGTTTTTGGTTCTTCTTTTCTGCGCTTGATTGGGCCAAGGAAGACTGACAACGCCGTGCAGCGAACCTAAAGATGTGGAAAATAATGAGATTGTAATTCAACGACATTTTTTTTATGTTTGCTACCTTCGGTGGCTACGGTGGTTCGTATACAACATCATTATTTTATATTTTCAGTTTTGAATTAAAAACTTGAATTTTTACCTAATGTTCACTTGGGTGAAAATAATTTTCACCTAATTGAAAAGTAAAGTTTCAAATTCAAATAAAAAGTGAAATATGTCGTATGTGAGCCACCATGTGTGGCCAGAATTAACGACTCGTCATTTTAAGACACTCTGTGATATATAGAAAAGTCATATATAGAAATAGTGAGTAAAATTCCTAGTTTGAGATATTTTTAAAGGAATTATGCGGTTTTCGTACATTTCTAGTACTTCTGAAGATTATTTACATATTTTGCAAGACTCAAAAAAACCCTGTCCCTTTAAGAAAAATTCTGATGTCGCGGACAGTGCTTCCGAGAGTATGCTCGGTGTCGTTATTGGTTACCTCATACCAAATTACAAACATGTACAAAGGACATCTCTAATACAGGCCTTTAAATCTCTTTTTCACGTTAAGTGCTTTTTCATTAGACTCTATAACTACGTGTATTTCCTTGCGCCGAAATATCTATCCATCTAGGCCGAAATAATTCGATAATCGTGAGATAAAATGTCCATGGGCCGAAACAACTATTCTTCGTGGATGATAGCATTCTATTCTGCAACTTCCGTAAAGCTGAATCGGAATGCTAGAAAACTTTCAATGCAGACAGATTGAGACGAGATGATAGCAAAGAAATTAATTCACTGTGGTCTGGTAAAAGAAGAGTTATCCTAAGTATTATTGACCAATTAACAGGGAGGTTTATTTAACTGCGGACCTGCTGATAAATACCGGAAGTTGATGTGTTGCTAAGTCGAAAGTATTTTTCTTTAGGTAAAATTTTATCTTTTTGATAAATATTATGAAACATATGATTTTGAAAAATCCATTTTATGTTCTAAAGTGAAAATGAATCTAGCACATATTCAAATCAATGATATTTCGTAAAATATTTACTATCTTACAACAGTGTTTACTGAATCGAAATTTGTCAATTCTTTTTTTTGAACTGAAATATCAACTACAAAATACCAATGATAATGATAGTCTTAGATGGAGTTTAGGTTGATGAAAATGTTAACCACTATGAAATTTATAATTTGTAAACATGATTTTACGAAAGGGAATATTCCCATATTACTGTTTGCAGTTTTCTTTGTTCTAATGAAGAAACTGTTTTATTCTTCTCTTGAATATTGAAGACTTTGTTTGAGGTATCTTTTCATTTGAATTTTGTAGTCCTAGTACAGTGTTAAAAGAAGTGGATATTTAGAGACATATTTAGGGTAAGGTAGGGATGGCCATATGCCTTTAGGATCTTCTTTACTTTAAGTTTAGATTTAGGGTCTCATTAGTGTTTTAGGGCTTGTCCTTGTCGGACATGATTACCACGGTTTTTCAATTTGTTTTGTTGCACATGGGCAAACTGAAGTGCTGGTAAAATAGCGAAAAAGAAACTAGACAAGTTCATGGCTAAATAACCTGTGTGGTGCATTAATGGAAAAATTAGATTAATTAGATCAAGTATTGTAAATTACCAGGCTCTGTATTCTCGAAACGATCTTAGCACTAGGATGTCCTAAGTTCATATTTTCTAACATTGATTCTAAGACATCCTAGGCCTATCATCAACTGCTCATCTATCTTCAATCAAGATCAAACTGATTTGAAGTAAAATTGATATAATTTTTGATAAATATTAAACAGCTAGTCCAGTCAAGATGGAGGCTGATGAGAGTTTAAAACAACAATTTAAACTTCTACAAGAACAACAACAACAGAAATTATTACGACGTAAACAAATGAAAGAAGAAAAAGAGAATTTATCCAATAATTCAGTAGAAAAGAAAACATTTGGTGTTGATGATAATTTAGATTTAAAGGTAGATATTTCAATAAGCCTGTTTTGACATTTGAATTTTATTTTAAATCCTTAATGCTGATATAGAAAACCCCCCTAAAACTATACTGACAAACAGTGTCAAGCTATTACGAACTGTGATAGCCACCCTTCTTGTGCCATGGAATATATCAACTTGATTTGCTAGCGTACAATCCAGTCAAATTGCTGCATTTAGAAAAGTGTCTATTACATGGGTCAGAATTAGGCCCATTACACCAAAGTGATATGGTCATGTTTGGGTGTCAATTTTTAAATGAAGAAGTTATTTATACTCTATAGGCCTAGGAGATTTAACAAGAACACAAAATACTTTCAGTCTCTTATCAAATTATTTTATTGAATCTTGTCTTAATTATTCTAGTTAGAAAGAAGTACAGGAGTAGGATATTTATCAGAAGAATTAGTTGAACATCTTAATAATGAAATTAGAGTAAGTTTTATTAATACTTCTTAGTTTAATCCTGAATTTTATCTTGAGTCACATGTGTTCAAAGACAAAGGTACAATTTATTGAAGGATTTTTATTCAAGCAACCTTATTAAGATGGTTTTTTTTTATACCAATTCATGTTTTTTTCGTGTAGTTTACTAACTTACTAACAAATTAAACTAGCCTAGATATGACCACACCGTTCTGACACGACCAGGAAAATGATCCACAATATATTAGTCTCAATATGAATAAGCTACAGTTCTACAAGATGTTATAGTATTGGTATTCAGCTCAAACATTAAAATCAATATCAAATTTTGAGATTATGAAGTATCAGTATTAATTTTTTATCAGGAACTAAAAGATGAAAATGGCCGATGTTATAAATTATTAAGTGAAAGAGAATTTGAAATCAAACAGTTAAAAAAGAAGAAGAATGAAGAAAAGAATGCTCTTTCAGGTAAATCAGGAATTATAGTGGCAGTATCTGGCAAAGATAGAGATGATACAGATAGTTTATCCTAGTTAATCTATAGTCTTTGGGCCAGTGCTGAAGGGATGTTATTTTCATATCAGATCTGAGGGGATGTTACCTAATGAAATGCACCAACCAGCTTGGCTACCCTTGAATAAACCACTTAGATCTGTATAAAAAATTATCTTGATATTCTCTTAGCCTGTGAAATTTACTCAAACAAAATCCACACCAGAAAATGCGTTTCTATGAAAAGTGTAGTTACTATTTTATTTTAGGTATGCAAGTCACTAATGAAACAGCTGGTACTAAAATAGTAGAATTATCCAAGAAAGTTCGTGAATTGACTGCTGAACTAGAATCAGAGAAAACTCGATCAAAACAAATTAACAAGAAATGTCATGACCTTCAAATGCAGGTGAGAAATTGTGTATTAATAAGATAACAAAAATTTATTTATGAAAATATCGACAAAACTTCATATCCAATTTTGATATTTTCTATAAAATAATTTAAGCTTTTGAAGGTAAAAATCTATTGTAAGATGTGAAAACTAAATTTATTCTAGAATTTTTGTTTGTTACAATGAAAATGTTTTGGAAATTAATGTTAAATATTTCGTTAATTTCGTATTCTATATTATTTTTTTAGATGTCGTCTGTACCAGATGACACGTCTAGATCTAGTCTAGGGTCAGCTGTTAGTCAACGTTCTGTTTATTATACAGATAATGACAAGGTCAGATAACTCTTATTTTACTTTTATTTTGTTTTAAGTAGTTGATCTTTATAAAGTTTGAGCTTTGAATTTAAACCCTCGAAGCTTATAGACCGATGAGTGACAGACTTTTTTTCAATTTTCAATCAGACGTCTGTTGTTCCTGCAATCGCAATAATCGCGAAGGGCCTTTTGGTATACAAGCATATTTCACGATAAGTGACGTCATAAAATACTTAGTTTTAGTGGAATTGCAGGAACCACAGACATCTGATCTGATGCAAAATTTAGGCTGTCCCTGATACACAAAAAAAGATGTGCGAAACCTCTTTACTATTACAATTTATTTCACTTTTTAATGAATATTTTAGGAACAACTAGAAGTAGATATAAAAGCACTACAAGACAAATTAAAACACACTGAAAACAAAGTTGCAGAATTCCGAAATCAGTCCACACAATATAAACAAGAATTAAAACTTGCTCATAAGGTCAGTCTATTAATATTCAAGCAATAAGCCTATATGTTTGAGTGTGAGGCTAATGAATAAAAATGAATATATAAAATGGTTTTATGGATAATTCGAATGTGATATTTTTTTTTCGCAGGCATTAAGTCAAGAGGTAGGAGAAAACGTCAATATACAGATTTTACTGTCTGGTCAGTCTAACTGGAGGGGTCGTGCTCAACAAATACTCTTACTACAGAAAAAGGTGGGTGGTAGAGGTATTACTGAGTCTTAAATAAGTAAAATAGGTGTACTGTCAACCTGTTATAAATGATTTTCTAAAATAAAGGTTATTTGTTGGCTATTCTTAAACTAATTTCTATTTTAATTAATGCCAAACTCAGATCCTGCACCTTCCTTTTTTGTGGAAGATATAAATAGATCTTTTGATGGCTTTAAAATGAGTACTGTAAATCCGTAACAATTTCTTGTAGTAAAGTTGACATTTTTTTCAACATTTTGAGACATTTTGGAATCTTTTGCCTTGTCAAAGCTATTTTCTAAGGTTGTCTTGGGCCAGGGGAAAAAATAAATCATGTTCATTTATCTGTCTTTCAGGTTGAAGAATTAAAGAATCAAGTTGATACAACACCTAAAAAATTACGTGATCTCGATGAAGATGATTTAGAAAATGAATTCATGGGTCGAACATCATCAAAGAAACGAAACCAAGATGAAAAATATAAAGAAGAGTTAAAAAAATACGAGAAAGAAAAGAAAGAAGCTTATGAAAAAATGGCGAATGAATTTAAAGCTCTTGAAAATGATCATTCTACAGTGAAATCTAAATTTGAAGCAGCAAAAGCGAGGTAAAGAGTCTGAGTTTTTCTGAGTAATTACAAACAAATAGAAATAGTGTCATCATATTGGTAAACTCTAAAAAATTAAAATCTGAGTTTTTATGAAATGACAGTTTGGTATATTGTGTTTTGGAGAAACAGGAATGGCTATGTGTTGTTTATTTGGGGTTCTGGCCAAATAAGAGATTGTAATATTATGACTTTGTGACCATACATATTCTTGTTCAGTCCCTACAAGCCTAATAACTTACCGATTTTTGCCTTGCCTTGTCTTGTGTTTGATATTGGGCTCAAAGAATGTTTGGATGTTAATTTGGGAATGAAAACAGTAGATTGTAAATTTCTATTTAATTTCTTGTCTTTATAGAAATAAAGTACTAAGCAATGAGAATAAATCAATCAAACAACAAATGACAACTTTATTAGAGAAGGGAAAAAATGATGATGAACTGATACAAGCTTTAATGGTAAGTTTATTTGATGTATAATGATTTGGGAATTAGATCACCAAGAAATAAAAAAGAAAGGAAGTATGAAAGTTTAGTTTAGTCTGTGACCACAATGTATACTATAATGTTTGTCCATGAACTAACAAATCTTTCCTGTTTATAATCAGAAACAACAAGCCCAGTTAAAAGACATGTTGGATCAAACAACTTCTCAACAACGTCAGAACAATTTAAACCAAGTTGATAAACTGAAAGAAATGGCCGTCAAGTCACAACAAGAGTCTAATATAGTTGAACAGTTAAAATGTATCATATCAGAGAGAGAATTAATGGTTCATAGATTAGAGGAAGAGATTAATCAATTAAAAATACAGGTAAATAGTTAATGACATTGTTTAGATCTCCTGGGCAATACAGATTGCTGGACTATATTCTTTATGTGTATTCTTAGATCACATGGTAAGAATTTTAAAATCCATGTTTAAACAGATTAATTAACTTCACATTATCCTCAGAAAAAGAATAAGGTGGTATTCATATTCAGATCAGTGTACGTTAAACATCACAATGGATATATCTTGCACAAACTCGAATAAAATATCTTTAATGATTCTATATGGTTAATCCAGGAAATATTGTTGCCATTGCCAACAAGTTGAAGCTTGAATCCTCTAATCATTCTGTCTATTTACATCTGATGTCTTTTGCTGATTCACAATTTGGTGAGACTTATTTTTGATTAACTTTTATAAGGTACACCATGTGAAATCAGAGACCCCATCTGATATTTATGAACAATTGTAGAGTTCTTGCCCTTGACATAGTTTATATGCTCCAACTACATTTCTATACCCTTAATAATTTTGATGTTTGGTTACAGCATTTACAGAAACTACAGAGTGAGAATCAGTATTTAGAGAAACCAGTTCTAGGAAGGTCAATATCAAGACAAACAACTGATCCTATGGTACTAAAATCAGTTTCACCTCCATCTTCCAGGTAATTTAATAAATCTGTTACCGTATAGTTCTAAATAAAGTGTGCTAGCAATTATAATGTGCCCCCTGCTTATCTTTCTAGTACATAAAATATTTAATGTAGTGGTTAATGAAAACTACAGTAGTTAAGATTGTAAACATGAAGCAGCTGGTGTTTTTAAATCAGGCTCTAGCCAGATTGATTGTTCAGAGGGACAAATAATATATCCAGAGAAACGATGATGTATGGTGTTTAATTGCTGTAAAGGAATTGGTTGGTTGTCATATTTTTTTCAGGGGGGCAGTCTATTGTTTCCTTGCCCATCTGTAGCTAGAGACCTGTTGGAAATTAATATACAAATATAAGAACTGGAGGGAATTAAGCAAGATTGTTCAATATTAATGACAAAGCTAATCAATGAATATTTTGGTTGTATTTTAGACACGGTGAAAGACCACCTAGTGGTAGAATAGACAGTGGTAGAAATTCTTCCAGAACATCTTTAGTTAGACCTCAATCTTCTAGGTAAGTTTTTAGGCTTTCAGCGACTGAACAAGAATATGTTTGGTCACAGAGTCATATTACAATCTCTTATAAACTGTTAGTTAGACGCTTGTTAACCTGAAGGTCCAGGGTTCAATCCTGTCATAATACCTTCAGATGTTTTAACCTGGTTTCCCCCTGTCAGAGATGCAAAAAAGACATGGAAAAAGCGTCTAGTCGTTCGGATAGGACAATAAACCAAGACCCTGTGTGCTACAGGCTGTGCATGTTAAAGATCCCTCGACAGTTGAAAAACGAAAAAAGAGCAAGCTAATGCCGCTGTCCTGGCAAAATAATTGTAATTGGTGTTGCTGAATTTTCTCCTCAGTCTGTGTCAAGTATATATTTTTTTTACAGCCACTTTCACTAATTTCTATCTATTTCAGTAATAATACAGTACAGAATCAACAAGTAGCAGAACTAGAATATCAGTGTCAGGAATATAAAATATTATTACAAACATCAGAGGTAGAGAGAGAACGTCTCACTGAATTATTACAGATTTTACAGAAGAGGTTGGTTACAAATTCTTCATAGTCCTACATCTTAAAATAGGATTTTAGACTGAATTTAATTTTTGTGCTTAGTTGTTCTTTGGTAAACTCTTTGGACAATTTAAAATTTTATCAAATTTATTTTTTAGAGTTGACGAGAATATAGTAAAACTTAACGAGAGTCAGAATGAGCTGATAAATCAGAGACGTAACAATGCTTTATTAGAGAAACAAGTAGCTAAATACAAGGTGGAACAGGCTAAACAAAATAAAGGCAGTAAGTCACTTTATTTTATAGTAGATCCACTTGATAATATCTGAGAGGTCCTGTAACATAGTGGGTTAGAGTGTTTGAAACCTTACGCGATGATGAGTTTGCAAAATGTTGATCGGGGGTTCTTATCTAATTGGTATGTGAAATTTATCTTTCCTTATTAATCCAATTGACCCAGCTGTAGGTCTAAATGGGTAAGGTTAATCAGGAAAAAATCAAAATCTAAATTTATGAGCAAAAACATCAAGCTCCATCAACCATTTTTGTGCATTTTTCAGATTCAACAAAAATTACAAAGTGTGTTAAACCTCAAAATAAAAAAGCATGTTTGTGATTATATTTTAGTGCTTCAATATTTCATTGACCTGATGGTTGAACTTCAATTTTAATTTATTCATCCTTCAGATACAACTGGCCGAAAGAAAGGACCTGTTAATCAAGGCTTGTCTAGATTAACCAATGATACTAGTTATAATGAAGAGGATCATATTGAATCTCTTGATGAACTGCAGACATGGTGAGTTATCTTTCTCAAGCAATCAGGACTAGGGTTTATTCCATTTCCTTACTTTCTGTTCAGCTTTAGTGGCTCAATGAATACGGTGCTTGCTCGCTAACATGAAGGTTCAGGGTTCAATCCCAGCATAAGTCTGGATAATACCTTCTGATTTTCAATACAGTTTCCCCCATGTCAGTGGTGCAGGTTGTTTTGGATTTTAAGTGTTGTGGTTCAGATCGCAAGTTCGTGGGTTTTTATCATTATAAATTTTTAAGGTTATAGTTAGAATGCAGCTTGTATTACGGTATTAATTTGTTTATGTTGGTATTTATTTATAGTTTAGAGATACAGAAAGATGAAAATGAAGCGTTGAAATCAGCTCTACAGAGTACACTGAACGCTAAACAAGAAGATTTACGTATTTATTCACAAACTATGGATGAAACTAAGAAAGTTTTCCTTCAAGCTTTAAGACAATTTAAACAAAGTGCTGGAACTTGATAGAGTGCAATATAGTTTTGATTATCATATTTCGCGTTCCATTACTTGCTCCGTGCTTCCACGACAATGTTACTCAGGCATTGTTTGACATACGTAGTGCAAGCGCGTAAACACGGTTTCGCGCTTACCCGAGGAGGCTGTCACATGGTTGCCGGCAAATATGGACAGGTCACGCCACAACATTGTCGTGGAAGCGTGGTGCAGGTCATCGAACACAAACACATTTGTATTGATCGCACTGTCCGCCATCTTCTTGTATTGCACATTGGGATACTTGCCGAAGTAACCGGCCCAGGGGGGTGGGTTACTTCTGCCTGACGCGAGTAAGCGCAAGTGATGACGTCATTGCCAAAACGAACGCATTCGAGCTTGCACGAGTAAGAGCGGCGCAAGTAATCGAACGGGCAGTACGTGAGCCAGTCGAACTTCTTTTCCACTATTTATCGGCATTTCTGTTAGCCCATTCTCTGAAAAAATAGCGAAGAAGGAAATTCAACTTGTTCACAGTTTAATATCCACAGTGTTAGATTATTACAGCTTTATATAAATAATGAATAAGAAATTATCTCAATCTTATGATGTCTCAGTTGGATGTGCTCAAGGATAAATCTTTCAGCAAAAATGATTCATGATGGTTTTTGTTCTGTCAATTCTGCTGATTCTTTGTGGTCATTACTGTATGTGGCAAGCTAGTTTTTGAATTGTAGATTTTCAGTAGCCTACCGCTTAGATGAATGCCTCTTCAACAACTATAGAATAAAGAATTAAAAAAATAACATACATGCAAGAGTGCCACATATTACACTTTTTATTCAAAATATGACTCACTTTATATCAGTTTATAAGATTTCTACTAGGTCAATAAAAGTATTCCATGTAGCAGTGCAATTTAATAAGCTTTATGTATAGTTAGCAAAATATGCTGATTATTTAGAGTATCTTCAAATAAACTGAAATATAATCTTATAATCTGGGGCTACTTATAGAGTATAGACCTTATTCACGCGTCGGCCATATTGAATCCAGAACGAGGCAAACCTTGAAAAGGTAACTTTATGTCATGGCAAAATATGTGTCAGTATGCACCAAATCATTTCAATTTTTCTAAAAATGTCTTGAGAGAACAAACTGGACTCTTGTCTCCCCTTTGAGTCAGTCTGTGCCCTATTTGTAACTGCAGTATCAGGAGGCTGGCCCCACCACTCTTCTGGAAATTCACCATATCTAAGGGTGTGTCAAATTATGTTGTTATTGTATATATAATGGATATTTATTGTAATTTATATTATGTATATTGTAAACATTAAAATGGACCCAAATTGACCTTGTCATAAACTCGTAGCCCCACCTTCCAAGTGACAAGCCTGGCCAAGTTTCGGAGAGGTATGTCCTTTCCTTGTTGCTAAATTATATTATGAGCCATGATTTGGAATGCCAAAGGTCACAAAAAAGTAGATCAGCATGGATTTATTTTTGTCATATCTCAGAATGAGACTCCTCTGTATAATATTCATGCAAACTTTCAAGCCTGTTTCCCTTTCAAATAGGAGAGATCGGCCATGATGTCATAGAGGTTTGTGTATCACATGATGCACAACTTAACAGTTGTAAGAGTAGTTTGTCCTACTCAAGGACAGCTAAGATGAATTCCGCTATTGTGGGATCTCTACCTATATATAAATACCCTATAGCAAGCATATGAGTGGCATGGTCCAGGAAATACTTTTGCTCACTGGTCTTCAAATGCCCAAAAGATCCACATAAGATGAGCAACAAACATGGGCAGTCCACTTTATTTGTAGGCAAGATGAGCAATAATTAACACATAAATCTGGCTAATAAAGAGTTAATTACTCTCTATTTTACCTCAAAATAAAATGGACTAATCAACCATATTTATTGGCCAATTCTGGTAAGGAGATGGAGGTTGGTGCAATATAATAATAAACATCAAAAGAATTGTAATTTTTAAACAAAATTCAACTTTAATAACAGAAACTAAAAGTTGTGAGACTTTCCAATAGCCATAAAGAAATGAAATGAAAGCATACCCTCATGAAAATTTGTTCAAAAGTTAAAAACTGTATTTCAATACGACTTGGCCTCAATTCAGAAATGGTAATATTCATATGTGATAATCAACACATTAAATATTTTTTAACAATGTTTCGAAATACAAGTGTTGAAATTTCACCAAACACTGAAGCTAACCTCCGAAAAATATTTGTCAATAATGAGGTATTGCATTCAACCCTTCCCTTGTTTCTAATCACCTGAAACTTGACAGAAAGGATCAGACGTGTGTTCTCGAAATATTCAAAGAAAATCTCAAACAATTCTGATATTTCATTCACCTATTCAAAATAACTATTAGATTGCTTGAAATTAAGTCACAAGCTCACAAATTGAAAATAAATTGATTTTTAATGGTAAAAGGATTGAGTGCACACAATTTTGTCTTTCTTTGTTTTATTTCCCATTAACTTTAAGTTTAACCAAAATCTGCATAAATATCTGTGCAAGTTTATACCAGATCAAGTCATAAACTGCTAAATTTAAGTCAAGGCATGGCCATGTCCAATATCTTCGGTCACAAATTACTGGATATAATGTGTCAGTCATCTATATGACACCCCCTGAACATCTAATTGAACTCTCCCTCATACCCATACATTCAACCAACAGGATAGTGTATATATGACTTGAAGAGTTCATTAGTAAAGTTAGGTATGTTTCTTGTTGCCTATCAAATTATATCCGGCCTTACCATTACTAACTATATCAGGACAAGTTAATAAGGTGTGTTTGGTGCCTTTTAAATTACATCCAGCCTCGCAATTACATGTCGAACTATGTCAAGAACAAGCCAGTTTAGAAGTTATTAAGAAAATGAAATATAAGAAATTGAGGTAAGATCTGAATGAAAACATTATAATAGACCTAAAGAGTAATAACAATATTCTGAGTTGAGATTAGGTAGTTGTCAAAATCGGAGTCTTATTTCATGTCCTTTACATTTTCATTGGTTCTGTTCCATCTGAATTCTTTCCTTGTTTCTCTAATTCCGCTCTGAAATACACAAAATTTGGATCAGAATTGATAACTTTTGTGTCAATTCATATGCAATGCTCATTCAATGGGCCATGTGCAGCGCTCATACTTTACCTAAACTTTGACTAAAGTTAGACTTAAGGTATGCACCGGTCGATCTTTACGAAAGTCGTGCTTAAATTTGACTATCAAATGTAGAAAAATGAAAGCCTTAATCCTATCTTTAGCCAAAGTTCAACTTTAGTCAAGGTAAGAGCGCTGCATACGGCCCCAAGTTTCTCACACAATGCACTAGAAAAATAAGAAAACATAACATTCAATGTGTAGAGAACATTTACATTTCATATAAAAGGGATAGAAAAAAAAAATGCTTTTGAACTGATGTTTCGTTAGGAGACATGTTATGAATAGTTAATACTCTTCCTTTTATTGGAAATGAAACAAAATAAAATGGTTATCTACTCTAAATCTCTCTTGCACAGGGTTTGTCTACTTTGTATCAATTCTAGGAGAGCTGTCTGTGCTACTAATTCTTATTTGATTTGAGAGTCTACATTCCACATAGATCTATTTATACCTGAGCTGTTTAGAGAAATCATCTTCTATATTATCATCATCCCAGTTATCTTCCCAAACCTTGATATCTTCATCATCTTCCTCTTCTCCTGTCCAATCTGAAATATTCAATAACTTATTAAGACGTTAATAAAAGTTCTCATACAATAATGCTGGGGTTCCAAATGCTGTCAACAAATAGGTCTAGTTAGCCTTTGGTATGGTTTGAAAAAGTAGGCTTTAAATGGACAGGTGGGCCATTTTGGTTTGATTTGAGCCTCGAAAATATGTAAATAGTCTTCAGAAGTACTAGAAATGTACGAAAATGGCATAATTCCTTCAAAAATATCTCATACTTAGAATATTACTCACTATTTCTTTATATGTCTTTTCTATATATCACAGAGTATCTTAAACTGACGAGTTGTCATTTTAACATTCAAACGCGGATAATTGTGGACACACATGGAATTGAAGGCTCAAACTTTGATGGTGAGCTATGAACGCTATTCGTGATTAGCATTTAATAAACAAAATTTTGATGAATCATTTTCTCAAATATCACTGACTTTTCACTAAGAAATTTTGATTTATTTCACACTGACAAAACATAAATATAGGGTAGCGTTTAAAAGCAAAAATATTGATCTCTTTAATGGTATTTTCAAAATTCTCACCCTCAGCGGGAAATTCTTCAAATTCATCATCTTCTTCGAGTAAACCCAAGTCGGGTTTCTTTTGTTGTTTGTCAGCCATGCTTGTTTGAAATTTACCTCCAATTTGAAGAGTTCTGCTTATAAGAGTTACCTCCCTTGGAGCACCTGCTCAATTTTATTAACCATAACTTTTATATGCTCTAGATCACAATTAATTATTTCTCTGGCTTATATTATTCGATTCAAGGGCAATGACTTGATGTGATAGTGGCCAAATGGGATATTATGAGTCTATTCCACATTCCCCACGCTAATATTTCCAAAGCAATCGCTTGAAATATTTGTGAAGCTTCAGTAGCCTATACGGGATTTTTTTTGTAGACTCAACAGATCTTATAGGCCTTATATTTGGATTCCCCTCGCCCCCTTAAACAAATTTCCCAATTATTTCAAACATTAAAACTCTTGCTTAAATAAAATATACAAAATATAAACTGAAATCCGATTGAACTCAAGATGTAAAGTTCAGTTTTGGGCTGAGTTTATGGTTGGGCGTTGACATTGAGAATGATTTAAAATGTGAGTTTAATGATAACATTCCTGTGTGATCACCTACTTTCTTTCTCTCCCGGGGTTTTCAGATTAACTTAAAATCAACTTGTTCAATCTCTGGTTAACCTTTTTTACAGTAAGTTTTATTTTCTTTCTCTTCTTTTTTTTTTCATGAAGAACTCATCTGAAAATTATAAGAAACCGACCAATTTTCTGAAATTTCAGATTAAAATTTGATAGAGTCTGTATTAACATTGGTTATAGTCTCTTCAAAGAAACCATTTTATGAAACTATTTTTTGTAAGTTAATGTTCCAACAAAGAAAAACTGGAAGCGATAGTTACATATCGTTGATATTACCCAAATTTTACACAATGCGATTTTTGATAGGTTAGTATGAAATAATTATATTATCCCCAAAGTCAGAATAATTGATTGTTCGGAGGGGCCTATATCTGCAGGGGCAATAAAGTCTAGAATTTGGTTGCAGTAATGGAATTGGTGGGCTGGTACTATATGATGGAATCTTGGTATTTTTGGACAGATTGGCCATTTTCGGGAGTTGATTTGGGTATTGAATAGGCTTATATATAAATAGTCTTCATAAGCACTAGAAATATACAAAAATCACACAATTCCTTCAAAAATACTGAATTTGAAAAATAAAGAAAATGTCGTTTCTGAGGCTTAGTACGATTGGTCAAACGGATGGCGAATCTATCCCTTTAAACGAACCTTGTCCGATCTTTCAGAAGTCGGTGGATGAGCTCCCAAGATGGTGTTGAAAGGGGTATTAGGTGTTCTGGCCCTCAGTCTATCAGTGTATTGTGATGTAGTCCTGGAAGAACGAGGGTACCTACAACTACCTGATAGAAACAACTTTCTGAGGTTTGACAGTGGGACGGCTGGTGAAAGCGCCGTAGATGTACAGAGGAAGGTGCTCTATGTTGTTGGTAAGCTTTGCATAAATGTTTTCTTTTTGTTAACTTTTTGTTCTAATAGACTCTAATGGACTGGCGATTCAAATCACGGCCAGTGTCAATAAATTGACGGGCTATTAACGTATGCGACCAATTGTTTGGACTTAGATTTAGTTAGACTAGATCAAATGTTCGTCGGAAGGTAGTACATGAGCAACTGGGGGCGAATTGGTAATACATATGAGCTTTATCGAGGAGTCCTCGTTGTTTTAAGAAACAAGATTAATATTCAGCATCGTTTTCAGCATAATGACAATTTCTTTGGCAAAACTGTAGCATCAAAGAGGATGAACATCCATCTGAATAAACATCTTTGTTGTGGTCTGAAAATAATCTAGTACCATAACATATAACTGGAAGATTTTGTTTCAGGTCACGATACGGCCATGCTTCATGTTATAAATGTCAACAACGTGGACTCTCTAACTACAATACTATCTCATAATTTCAACCCCGCCACTGAAGGCAAACCTCTAGACGTTGAGTTCTGCTCCACGCCCACTAGTTCAGTGCTGGCGATATCGTTCTCTAGTCCCCTGTATGAACAAGCTGAAGGTCACGTGATTCTGTATGAACATGTGTCGGTCGGTAACCCTGTTCTGGTACAGAAGAACCCTACAGACCCCCAAATAACAGGTAGGTGAATGACTAGTGCGGTCCAGTCAGATGATAGATTGTCACCTGCTGTTATTGGTGCCAATTAAAAAAGAAACGAAAACGCTTTACTTCTGCCAAAACTCACAAGGATAAGCCTATTAGTGTCAACAATACACCCTCACTGGGTTTATGCATACATACCCGTGCCTGTGCTTTTGATACATTGCTTTACCACAATTTTAGACCCTATAATTCCTAGTGACAGCTCTCACCCTGATCACCACAACGCATTTTAAATATCCCACGAAAAGGAGTAGACTATATGGACTATATAGACTGTGAAGCATTAAACATGGCATACAAAAACTCATATCGACATAAAACTCCATATCAATAGTGGTTAAAAGAAAATATGTTTCATTAATAAGTCCAATAAGATATAAGGGACTGAACATTAGAACATGTGAATTCATAAGAATAAGAAATTTATTCTTTACAGTGGGTCCACACCCTGAGAATATCAAATTTACCAGTGATTGTGCCCTGCTAATCGTGTCTAATGAAGGAATACCAGGAGAATATGACGGGAAATTTGTCGATCCACCAGGCAGTGTTTCTATTATCAGTGTTACCGTAGCCAATACACCTATCAGCACTGTTTCATTTAGTGAAGTCGACACAGAGCCTCAAAGAAGGTAAGTCCTACCCGTTTCTCGGACGTGATAAACCCATAGGCTTGTTCAAATAGAGCAATGTCTGTTCACCTTTCGGAAGATACATGTATTTATTGAACAATAAGGCAGAAACGTCTCATTGACTAAAGCATCAAATGCAGCACGTGTTTTAAGAAACAGGATCACCATCGGGACAGCTAGTTTTAGAAACGGGGACCTGACAAGGGTGAACATCCACATAGGTCATCATCGTTTTCAGCAGATTGTGACAGTTTTCTCTGTAGCAGGATACCCAGACTCTTCAACGAGGGTATCGCATCTGTGCACAGAAAAAATGAGACTGGAAAACACGAAACTGGTATTTAGTCAGAATGAAGCATCAATTATAGATATATTATAATTATTCCGGCAAACACTTCCACTGTTTATTTTGTTTCAGTTTCCTGTTAAACAACCATGTACGCTGGATGTTACGAACTGAACCTAATACCAATATTATCAACCCCTTCTCTAATAATATAGAACCAGAATATATTACCATATCACCTAATAATGCTTACGCCTACGTTACACTTCAGGTAATGATTAATGGATCCACGTGCAAAGTAACGTGAATTCGTTTATAAAGATTATGTGAAGCGCCCTAAGATGCCATATTCTTGCTGTATCGTACACTCAACGCAAGATACACTCTTTATACAATCTCTAGCACGTATTCATCTCCACACATAATTCCAGTCGACCTAGCTGTAATCTGGCTAATCCGGGAAAGATCAATGCCAAGAGGTTTGGCCAAGATCCAACTGGTGCATGGAAAGGATCCTCAACTGTGAACCTAAGTTGTTATCTTTATAAAATATAGTTGTTTCTTTCTTTTAAGCGTGACTGAGTTTGTCAAGATTGAGAACTGATAAATAATATAAAATATATTCTACTTTAGCTTAAGCTACACAATGGTATATATTTTTCAACCATGACATAACACCTGTTTTTTTAGTATTGTAATGCCCAATGCCCGTTACTGGACTCGTGATTCTTATAGCCTATTCTTTCAGGAAAATAATGCTATAGCCAAGATAGATTTAGAAAATGGTTATGTTAATCAGATATATCCACTAGGGGTAAAGGAATGGCGATACAGCACATTTGACGGAAGTGATGGAGATTCAGGTGCGTTAAGAGTATTAAGAGTGTAATTTACTTTGATAAATACCAAACGATTGTGTGTAAAACGGTTGCTTACATTGTATAGTATTACCCGCATTAACCCGGGCAACTAATAAAGTCATCCCTACAGGAAGTCCTACTAGCCAGAGAGAGAGAGAGTTTCCAACACTGTGTTTTACACTGATGAACTGCAGTGCCGTATTTAGGGGGAGGGGCATTGGACAATGCCCCCTCAGGCCTTGAGTAAAAATTAAGCTCTCTAAATAATCAAAATCCAAAGCAGCCCATTTGACATATATTAGCTTCTGGGGACTTCTGGTATCCCCTGACTCAAACGGCTTCGGCCCTTCGGACCTCACAGTTTTGCCCTTTTTAAGCGTTTTCTAGAAACGCCCTTGGTGATCAGACTATATTTTTCGGATTCCGTTTCCTGACCTGAGATTTTTGGTATTTTGACAATTAATCTATAAATGATACCTTGATGATATCTGATTTTAGGTATAATATTAAAAAAACACAACATCTCCAGTTTTTACCAACCAGATAAAATCGCCTTCTTTGAATGGAAGAACAGACTATATTTAATAACAGCCGATGAAGGAAAGGAGTTTTCCGTCCCTATTTATTTCTACACAGATTTTGATCGAGCAAAGAATCTCCACACCAGTAAGTATAAGCTCCAATTGGTGTATAGTGTCGTTTCTATAAATCATTAGGAAGTGTCAGGGGGCTACCTCATCTCAATTCTGTCCTCCCGTAGAAAAGCCACTGTGGATGCAATATAGAATATTTTGTATATCTGTGTAACTGTGGCAGTGGCGTTTCCACTATCAAAGTTTTTACCATTTTACATAGTGAAAGGATGACTTTTGTGGCCTCTACTCGGTCGTTCACCTGATGTTTCCTAGAAACGGTCTTTGGAAAATCAGTCACCTCTATTTTTTTGGTATTAGCTTGACGCATTTTGGTATTCGTGGTCCTTGTCAACAGTGGAAGCTTACTTGAGCACAGAAATCTACCATTGTGCACAAACCATATGAACTCCAGCAGGACACGATTGTTACGTATGATATAAACGTCTCATATTTTGATTTTTCAGATGGCGAATTCCTCGTAGATCCTGAATTAGACGCCGAGTTAGCTGATGACGCCCAATTGGGTAATATTTTTTATGTATGAGGAATGTAGATCGACAGGTTCAACCCTCGAAATAGCTATGAAGTTCAACTAATATTTTTGATATTTGTCTTATTGAAATGCAGAATGAAACACCCTAGCCCAAAACCTTGATCAAGAACCAAGTGGTAAACAAGGTCTTCGATATCGTAAGCAGCAATCCTAGTGTAATAGAGGCATTCGTCTCCCTTTTTACCACACTGAAAGTACGAGCTTTGCCTTTACCTACAGTTGGTTAAGAACAAGTGACTGGACTATTAATTGACTATACTATGACTAATGATTTTGTATAATTCAGGTCGGCTCTTTGTCAGTCAGTTTCACGACGGTCGAGCTACAGGCTCCAGTAAAATAAACAGAGTATTTACATTCGGTGGTCGAGGATTCTCTGTGTTTGATGCTAACAATATGATACGCCAGTATGAGAGTGGAGACGAGATCGAGAAATACAGCCGACTCTTCCATCCTAATGTTTTCAATGGCGACTGTTCCGATGCTAATTTAGCTCCATTCCAGGAAATGGATTTTCGATCAACTCTTACGGTATGTGGTTTTGAAGGGATGTTATCTTATGTTCTTTCTATAGGCTGATAGAGCCAAGATTATGTAACCTGACTAAGCATCTTTTGTCAATATTCCCATCGACCCAGTTTACATGGATACCGATAATCCAATTCTAAGACGTAGGGCCAAGGACCAGCTTGTAGTTGGTCGTTTCTTCCTTTTCCATCCTTTGAGATCATTTTGTTTCTTTTCTTTCAGGGACCTTCTCTAAATGCTATAGTAGACGGCGATTTTCTTGGAAGAAAATTGCTGATATTTGGCAGTGGTACCAATGGGATATTATACGTATATGAACTGGTGAACCCAGTTTCTTCCAGAGCCGAGATGGAATTCCAGAGCGTCCATCGACGAGGCAGCACCCTTGACACGTGGGGAAAGCTTTACTCCAGTGGGATTATTGGGGATGCGGGCATTGAGGATTTGTCGTAAGTATTCATTTTGTAGTTGAGGGGGTTGGCGTGTCTCAGTGGACGAAGTAACTGTTCTTCAGATCGGGGTCACGGTGAAAACAGAAAGCAGAGGATAGGGTGGGGCTAAATAGGATCTGTGACATCGTTAGAATCCTCTTCGTCCGTTAAAGTACGGCTGGGCCAACTTGGAGGACTAATTATATACCCACATACATCTGGATCGACTGGAATAATGAGGACTTATCTCAGAACTCAAGACTGAGAAGAAAATCCATGTCCATGACACATAATATGACAACGTAGTGGAAGCAAATAACCCGATCTCTCTACGATGAGCTGCCATATCGTGAAACGGTATACAAAAGTATCTGATATGTTTGTTTTCAGGTTTATACCACAAGAAAACAGTCCAGTGACAGGTTCACCTGTATTACTAGTAGTCTCTTCTAAAAGCGGCTCGGTTTCAGCCTATACATTTAAAGATCAACAGTTCCCGAAGGGAGTTAACGGGAATGGCGGAATTTGTCAACCTACTGTATAATTTTGAACATTCTAGAATAAAAATATATCATGTTTCTAGTAGTTTTGAATCAAATCGTCAATTTTCGTAGTATCAGCTGATAGAACATAATTTCAAGTACATTGCATCAGGTTTATATTTAGTTGCTTGGACAGATAGTAATGTACATAACTACTTATAAAACCAGACTCGTAGCTTAAAAGGAGAATTATTCTTTAGATTTGCAGCAGGGTCGACTAGAAAGATGACTTGTTCTTTATCCATCTACATGTGACAAAGCTGGATAACTAATGAAGAATGACTTTCTGAGATTTGTAAATGAACTATGCGAACTCTCTCTCTCTCTCTCTCTCTCTCTCTCTCTCTCTCTGACAATCTCCATCACAGACTGGCACCAGGCGTTCCACAAATAGGACTGGTCCTTGAGGGACACCCGCCATAGTGTAGTTCAAACTCAATAAGTCAGTGTATTGTCGTTCTTCGTAGAGATAACACCTTTCTGACTTTTTAAAGGGATTAGTCCCGAAATGTAGCCACAATTATTCTAATTGTATCGACTTTTTACCTACTGTTTGCACGTTATCGTGGGATTTATTTTTTCCTTTATTATCAGTCGACTCGTCGTTTTATTTTTATAAAGTGGATGATATATATGGATGAGGACTCAACGGCTTTAAGCAGCTACATGTAAATTAAAGAATGACCCCTCAGTTTATATGACCTTGGAACAATATAAAGGCTCAAACTGACCGTGTCTGAAATGTTTATTTATTACAAAAATATTTTTATTTTATAAATTCAGATCTACATTTCATAAATTTGATTCTGTGAATTTAGGGTTGCTGACAGATGGCACCGTTTCCGTTTTGGCCGTGAGGAAACTGTCGCTCGGTAAGGGTATATGCGGATACAGAGCCACTCGTACTGGAGACTACAACAAGGACTGGTGATCCGGCTACTGGACTGTGTTCTATTGGAATCCACCTGAAAGATAAATTGACACTCATGACCAATTGCTGACAGTTTTTGAAATGACATTGTACATTACACGATGTGTAAATCCAGTGCGATGTTTATGTATCGTGTCCAGATAACTCTATCCAATGGGCGGTAGACCGAATATTATGATGCAGACAAAGCAAAAGGAAATGCTACCTCTGTTCATAGAATGAAATAGGTGTATTTAAGCAGAGTAATTCATAACGTAAAGTCTGTGTGCTACTGCTAGTGGTTTGTCTTAGAGATAGTAGAAAATATTTGAGATCTTTAACGCTATGCGTCCTACTTTTCTGCACCATGTGGACTAATGGAGACGGGCTACCATGTGTTTAACTCACTGAGAGAACACGGACACGAGTTTAATAACAGTAAGTATGAGTAAAAAAAACTTACGACATATCTTCAATACCAGCATCTCCTATATTACCCGAGGAGTAAAGCCTACCCCAGGTATCGATGGTACCACCACGACGATGTACGCTCTGGAACATCAGTTCAGCATTTGCTACGGTGCTTGACAGCTCATACAAATAGATTAACCCATTGGTTCCACTGGCTACCACGATCAGTTTTCTACCGTTAAATTCACCATCAATGATAGCATTTAATGACGGACCCTGAAAATATACCAACATCACTATCAGGCCGATTTATATCTATGCATATCTGTGTATGCATTGCGCATTTTTTTTTTTTTGGCTTTTTGGGGTGGTGGGGGGCGGGGCGACATTGTTGTATACTTTTACAATTTGTTTGTTTGGTATCAGCAAGATTTCTGAGGAGGAATTTACCCCTTAACCTTCAAATCAGATGACAATTCAGCACGATATTATCTAAATCACCAATGGAGCAATATGGATCCGAAAGGGATGCCGAGTTGACAAATGAATAAACCAAGTACTAACGATCCTAACCGCAAAACGAAACCCGGTGTCCAAAACAATTATAGATGGATAACGTTGCTGAGTTGCATCAGATGTCTCGTCCCGTCTTAAAACAATGAACATGCTATGAATTGCTAGCGACAAACTAAGTTGCCAAAAACCACAAGACCCTCTTCCCACTACGGTTAACAATTTTCTTGCTCAATGAGCATGTACATCAAAACTATTGTCCATACCGTTGAGGTGGATAATTTATCTTTTTCTTGGAAGGGAGTTAAATTTTCATCGGTACAATCTCCATTGAAGACGTCTGGATAAAATAATCTATTAAACTTCTCAATCTCATCTCCACTCTCCCATTCCCTGGTCATCGTACTGGGGTTCAACACAGAGAAACCTCGACCACCAAATCCATAAACTGTTCGGATCTTGCCAGACACTCGACCATCGTGAAACTGACTCACAAAATAACGACCTGCAACACAACGATTAAAAAATGAAAAAAAAATTATTAACTATGTGGTCTCTCCAAAAGAAAAATGCACCAATAAAAATATTTTACTGGCCATGTGTACCCTCTAAAAGTCAAGTAAGGTGGTCATTTGAGCTAAAAAAAAAAAAAAAAAAAAAACCCCAAAGAATGGTGGATACATAGAACGAATGACATTTACATAACAGAGTTCGTAATAGTTTGACACTGTGAAGATGTCCAGAAGGGTGAACGGAGCTTTCTTGAAGGTCATAATACCATTCAAACAAACATTATTTTATGCAAATGAGATACTCTGTGAATTATCACATTTTGTCCGGAGACCTCTGATTTTCTTAAATTTCATGCTAAATAATAATTGGCACTGAATTTTAATGAAATTACTTACCTAATTCTGTATCGTTGGCAAGTTCAGCGGCTAAGGCAGGATCTACGAGGAAATCGCCGTCTGAAATTTACCGAGAACAGGGAATATACATGTGGTGCCGTGCCAAAGAAAATTACAATACCAAGAGGATTTATTTTCGAAATTTCACAGCCCACTCATAAGATAAGTCCCTTATCCGTTGATGCAGCATAGGATATATTATTTATGGTGAAGAAGAATTGTGAATGACGCTTTAAAAATCGACAAGGTATAATAATTTAACTTTCAGATAAGTCTCAGGGTACATTTCTTCAGATTTTGGTCAACAATTCCTTTAGTTTTAGTACCTATCTTTCCCATCCTAGAATCAGATTATTCAGAATGTCCCTCGAAATGATAAAAGACTTACTTGCATGTAGGTTCCTGGCTAACATAGAATCAGTGTAAAAGTAAACAGGAATATTGAACTGTTTGCCTTCATCAGCAGTAATTAAATACAATTTCTCCTTCCATTCAAAGAAAGCGATTTTATCTGGTTGGTAAAAACTGGAGATGTCGTGTTTCTTCAGGTACTTTCCTATAATAAAATAAAATAAAATAAAAAAAATAATCATTTGTATTGATTTACCAGCTTGGTCGACTGGAATAACTGGTACGGATAAGTGGTAAAACATTACTTAACGCTATTACGAGTGAAATTCGGATGATCCTACCAGCTAGCTAGTGGCCAAAAATCTTATCATAGATATTTGTAGGAATCTAGGTAACGATTTGCAGATGAATCGACCAGTTGATAAGAGCTCATTTCTTGGCTGAGAGAATTGACTTACCTGAATCCATGTCGCTAGCATCTAGTGTACTGTATTTCCATTCCTTGGAACCGAGTGGGTAAATATTGGCAACGGTGTAAGATTCCAAGCTGATCTGGGCAATGGCGTTATTTTCCTGGAATGAGAAATAAGTCAAAGAAATAAACAGGGATTCTACAGATGGAAACGAAAAACACAGAAAATTCAAAGGCTAATCTTCAATCTAATTGAAGTGCAGATCTTTTGATTTTGTTTCGTTTCGAGCTTTCTGTTCTGTTTTCAGATATAAAGTTGAGTTTTAGGTTTCAAAGCTATGAGGAGAAGTTGAAAGATTTTCAACTGTTTTTTCCAGTTTCCAACGGTCGGGAAATCACCATCAGAATTCAGGATACATCGCTGGCGCAAATATCTTGTCCCCCATGCCAACAGATTGTACACTTGGCACAAAGGCAGTATTTTTAACAATGAAGTATATGCTGATTAGATAAATAGGCTACCAAAAAGATTCTATAACCGATGAGTTGAATTAGTCTATCTATATGTACCTGAAGTGTAACGTAAGCGTAAGCATCATTAGGTGAGATGGCGATATATTCTGGTTCTATATTATTAGAGAAGGGATTGATTTCGTTGGTATCAAAGTTAGCTCTCACCATCCATCTTACTCCAGCATTCAACAACTCTCTGAAATAGAGGAATGTCTTAAAAACACAAAATTAAAATGAAATCGAGTTTTACGTCCTACTTGTCTGTTCTAGATTGGACTCTGGTAGTTAAGAAAGAACATAGATAGAAATGCCCAATCCGGGTAAAAACCTAAAACCACCATTTTCTTTATAGCACGTCACCTTTGCAAAAGTATGTGGTAATAGGTGTGATATCTGAGCTTTTTTTCCCACCTCCCCCACCCCCATCTTAAAATGAAATATATTTACAGTGTCTTGTCCGTGTCGTCTACGAAGCTGAAGGAAGCTCTTTCCACGGTGCTGGAAGTTGGTGACGTAATCACCACGACGTCAACAGATCCTGGGGGATCCACAAAGTTATTCTCCACTGTTCCGGGTATGCCCTCATTGGACACAACCAGTTTGGAACAATCCGACGTGAATTTGATGTTATCTGGATGGGGTCCGACTGAAAAACGAAATGCATGGATTTATCTATTAGCGCCCCTCGGTTCCCATAGAAACCATAGAAGGCTCCTGAGAAGCTGATGAAATGTTATTTCAAAAATTTTATGTATTTTTGGTAATTTCATTGACTCTTATTGTATTCACTTGAACTGTTTTACATTAAAGCTTTAACTGAGACCAAGGATTTTGTGGACTAGTTGGATGTGGGTACCAAAAGATGACGTTTGGGAATTTTTAGTCCAAAGGGTTTAAACTGAATCATTAACAAGGTTAAAGTTTGATTCCAAATATTGTTATCGAAGATACATTTATCTGAATTTCCCTGAGTGGAATTTTGTAGTTCAAATTGACTAACAGCACACAATAATGAGGATAATAAGGACTTAAATTGAATCCAGTTACTAATGTAAAATATTGAGGTGCATTTAGCAAGGATAAACTTGAATATACCGAAGCCTTTGAAGATAAAATATACATTTAGTTCCACTAACCTGTGATTGAAGGATCAGCAGGGTTGATCGGAGCGAGTGAAGGTTGTCCAACAGTGACGGGTCTGTAAAGGATGATATGCCCTTCAGCCTGTGGATGCTGGGTACTTTCAAACGATACAGCAACATACGACCCCAGGGCGGAGGAACAATATTCTACATCTAGAGGTTTGCCTTCAGTAGCCAGGTTAAAGTTATAGGTTAAAATAGTATTCAAGGTGTCCACGTTACTTAAATCTATCACATGCATCATTGCAGTTTGTTCCCCTGAAAAGTGAAAAAGAAGAATATTACTTCGACTCTCGATAGAAGGCCTAAATAAGAGCAGAAAAGTTGGATGTATAACACGTTTTAGTTCTCGAAATACGATACACGAAACTGGTTGCTTAAGGGAAAATGGCGGTGTTCCAATCCATCTTCAGAGAGAAAGTCGTTGTTTACAAGGCGATTTTATAGTCAGACAGGAAAGGGAGCTAAGTAGAAGAAGATATCAATCATGAAAAATCACAGCAATTCGACAATTCACAATTGCATTATCAGTGAGTTACACACAAAATTATGTATAGACAGCAATATAGCGAACCTTCGACAATTAACATCCTTCATCCTTAGGAAAGCTGCATTCAGAATTACACCAAGACAGCAATGTGCTGACTTGCAAGGTTCATGACCTTTGGACAATTTACATTGCCATCATCAACAAGAGAAAATCGCTCACCAATAACATACAAGATCCGTCTTGTGGTGTCAATGGCGCTTTCTTTAGCTGTTCCACTGTCGAACACCAGGTTGTTTTCTCGGTTTGGTAGTTGAAGGTATCCTCTTTCCTCTAGGACCACATCACAATTGACGGTGGCCAGTAGGAACAGGATACTACTTACACTCAATCTAATCATTGTACCAAACTACACCTGCAAGAAAAATAATGTTTAACATAAGGTGCCTAAAAACTGAAGTAAGAGCTGTTGGTTCACAATGTGTATAGCATCATGAAGGTAGAATGCGTTTTAAAACATCAAAAGTTCCATCAACCATTCTTACATTTCTATTACTTGACTATTCTGCTTAGTCAGATTGTGATGTAGCCCCTTCTCATATCAGTGGATTCTGCCTCCTAATCTCAAAGTGTTTGTAGTGTCAAGTCAACTCGACATTCGTGTTTTTTGGCAATGCTAATCTATAATCTGTGAACAATGAACGCAAGGCTGTTGTTTGGAGTATGAACGAAGAAGGCCTGAATTGGAAGGAGGCAATAGTAAGAAGAAGCGACTTACCTAGAAGCTGCGACTAGAAACAGTGTCAATCCCTATTCTAACCCAGTTTAATTTCTGAGGTCTGATAAGAATCGAGCAACTCAGGAATGTAACTTTATAATATACTGATTTGTCAACATGGCTATTGTAAATCTTCTCTTTTCAAAGGCTGGGGTGTTCTTTTTTCGGTTTTAAGTTAAAGAAGGTTTCCATTTGTATCTTAATACGTTTATACTTTAAAGGGATTCTTGTCTTCATCTAGAGGTTTTCTAAATGAATGTGTATCTAGCACACTTATAGCTTTACATCATTCTGTTTTATCCTAGCTCTTGTATGTATATCTGGGACATTGGAAGCTTTTGCTTACGCCACTTTAGTTTCCCGTCCGACGTTTGTGGTTATTGTAATTACAGAACATCAACGGCTTACTGATAGTGCCATGACTTTTCAAAATAACTTCGTTCCCTGATCATTCATTATAGACTAAGTTAGAAAGACTTCTTCTCCAAAATTTCAGTTCGTCAACCACTCTTGATAATCAATCTGCTAGTTCAGGGGTAAGTTTCCGGAAAGGACTCACGATCCTTGTTATTGTGCATCGTATCGCATCTAATAGGCGAATTTAAGCAAAATTTGTAAATTTGCACCTTTTTCTATCTGACATGTCACCTTTAAAGTCCTTAAGATAAGTGCATGATATCATAAATAAAGGAGAGAGCCGGTACTGCAAGTGGTTGATATCCAGTGGTAAGGTCTGTATTCAACTCGTACTAGCTCGTAAAATAGGGGCTGTATATCAACAAGATAATGTATTAACTTTTGAAGGGTGTGGACTCTGGTCTTATCATTCGGACAGGGAGTGGGTGAGCCACAGGTTTAAAGGACCTCTTCCATGAAACATATTTTGAACGTTGCGTTCGTATAGAGTTCTTGTTTTCATTTTGTGATATTAACTGTTTCAATCCCGGAATACTGGTACTGCCTAAAAGCAGTCGTCCTAGAGGTACACCGGACGTCCTGTTGCATGCACACCATAATTTGACTGTCGACTAGGTTCATCGTTTTGATCACGTATTTGCCACTAGACTGCATTTGGGCTTCTCTTGAAATTTTGGGCTCTTCCTTTCGAAGCTGACGAACACAGGAACAGCAGCATGCCCGATTCCGAGTCTAGAAATCAGATTGGTAGTTTGACGGAGTATATCTGTTGTATATAGTCACAATAGAAAGGATTAGATAATATCGATAGGGGAAAGGAAAGGGTGGCCTATAGTACATTTATAATCTACATATCTTCTCCAAATAATAACATGTTACACTACTATTACTGTCTTACATATAGATTGATACAAGATACATCAGCTCTAAATAGATATAGTCCTAGGCCTAAATAGAAAGATATCCCTATGAAAATGGGAGAAAAATTGGTAACGCTTTTGGATATGGACAATAACCGTCGAGCACCCCCATCCCACGACCCTTGAGTCCACTGAATCAGGACTTACAGGCAATGCCCTTATAAGGCTGTGCTCTCACCATGTAACACGGAACAGGAACGTGTGATAAAGTACCTCTTTCTACATCAATTACAAGTTATATTTCAATAGTAACGTTTATTAATAACATGAAAATCATATGAACACAAAATTACAAATTTATGATAATTATAAAAGTAAAAATAGGTTTCATACAAAAATCATGGTTTTGCAGTTTTAAGAAAGTTTCAGATGAGGACACTGTCACAATTTCAAATTTTGGATAAATTGGTTGTTTTTATCATTATTTATTATTGTTGAAAGTAATAATCTCAAAAAGATACCCTTATACCAGTTCCCTAAATGACTCTATATCTGTAACTTGTTGACCTTATACCTGACCACGTTTGTAACTTGTTGACCTTATACCTGACCACGTTTTCTAGAAACTATCTTGGCGCTAGGATGCCCTAGGTTCTTATCTTCTAACATTGATTCTAGGACATCCTAGAGCCAATCTATTTAGAACTAATCTATATAATAATTACTAGTTATTCATAAGACTTGGCTAGAGTTTTTTTTCAGAAGCCGAGAAGTTCTGATTTTCAACTAATATGGCAAGAAACATAAAAAAAAATTAACCACGAACGAAACCTAAATTAAAAAGTGTATAATCAGCTCATTTTGAGCTCTATAAATAAACTGAATGAATAGAAGAATAGATCCCTTTAAAACTTTGAAAAATCATATCAAAGAAATTGTAAGAGAGCTGATTGGTCCAGACAGCTGACCCCTGAAAATATGACCAATCACAAGTCTCAAAGTTATTTATTTAAGATATTATAACAAGTCCCTGATAATTTCAACCTTCCATTCAAAAATAATCTTAAAATAATACAATGTGCAACAAATCTGATAAAATTCAACAAATGTGCTGTTTCCTTTATTAAAATTGAAGATATAATGAAAATTAACAGTTAGTAAAAATCCATTCTCATACATTAGTATATACAAAGATATAAAATATAGAAATAACAAGCCTAATCAAGTTTAGCTTTTTAAAACCAGGGCCCTACATTAAATAAAATTACTTTGGACTATGCTACAAAGAATATTTTTCAATTCGCAGTAACATACAGTGGCAATAAGCCTCCAAGGTTTTAACAGTATTATTCATTAGTACTTTACACATAAAATTCTACAAGAATATGAGCCAGATTTCTAAAACAAGTGACAGCCTAGGCTAATCCATCACCCATATACCCAATTGATACTTTTAAAATGAAGAGTTAAAATAAATGATAAGAAACAGAATTTTCATTAGGCTTGTTATTCTTTTAAATGTTTTTAAAATCACAGTAACGCACGTGGAATGACAAGTTGAAGTTTGATTTAGGGAACTTGTCTAAATTTCATAGCGGTTGGATAAGGTCCATGTTTTTCTTTTATCAACCACATCTGATCAGCGACACTACCACCCTACAAATATCAATTATAATATCATACAGTAAAAATGACAAATATGTACTATCTTCAAGTAATTAGATCTTCTGAAATTCACATTTCATAGAAAACCTTTAACGAGTGCTTATCGCACATAAACTTCATGAGTTGCCAGATTTAATTTATAACGAAATATTTAATCCAGCATGGAATTTATCACACAACCCTCAATAAATACATATTTTGCTTATTTTCACACTTAGGCACATTACTTTTTAAAGGTGCTTGTTTTCAATTCAAGGTCAGCATTTTTACACCTTCTGCAAAACGTCCTAGCGCATAACAAAAAAGATCAAAGTAAACACTTTCATGTGATAACTAAATGGGAACTTTAAATCAAAGTTATGATTATTTTTTGGTGACCATTGCATGTCCTTTACTATTCATAGCCTCAGACCTACCTTACTATCTGACACCTGTTCCATATAGAGATGTGTTCGATTAATAACAGCCATCCTGGTATAACCGTAGTCTGGAATACGTTTAGCGGACCAATATGGCCGATCTTTGTCAAACGGATCAATGTTCTCTTGACATCCCTAAAATACAACAAGATTGTATAAGATACTTTCAGACAATTGATTTTGAAAAAATCCTTTAAAATTGTGGATCCTAATATAACATTCTAGAGAAAATTAAGACTTTTTCACCCAAAAACTTACAAATAATGGGAATAAACAAATAATGTTATTGTATTTGGCGAGTAAAAACTCTTAAAAATTCAAACAATTATCCTAAAAATAGCTTAGCTTCTTTTTTTTAAACAGATCTTGATACTTTAAAAGGATAAAGTCATCTAAATACCAATCAATCATGTATGTCCCTTTAAAATAATTATTATACTGAATATAGTTATATAACTTACAGCTGAGCCTGTGATAATATGTACAGGTGCTCCTGGGTTAGTGTATGGATACTGTCGACTTCCATTATACACCTACAATACAACAATATAAATACATCTACTCAAATATATATTGAGTCTAGTATCTTTCATGGATGAAAAACTATTACTTCAAATTATATAAGCTTACTTTGATTGCCAACATTTTATAAGGAGCAAGTACCACCAGTAACATAACTGATAGATGAGTAGTCTGGGTTGTTACCAACTTACATCATATAATGTTAACTTCATACTCTCCATGTCAGATAAAACTAATAACAATGTGTTGAGACATTTTTCCACTAAAGAGATAATCTCTCTATGTAATCCAGCTAAATCAATTACAGGAATCTTGATAGTCATGTAGCTGACTTGCCAAACATAAGTAAATCAAGATGGCAGCATACATACCTCTCGATTATAGATAGGCCACAATCTTTCATAGGAATGTTCATGAGCCCACAGCATCAAATCAACACCATACTCATTGAATAAATCTTCTAAACCAAATATATGTAGGATAGGTACACCAACTCGAACCTGAAACAATAGACTGATGCTTATAATGTCAGCATTTTCACTCAATACAATGATACAATAATAAACAATAATCATTCAAGGGAAATAACTGCAATCATTTTGTCAAAAAGTTCAGTCAATAGACAGATCAAGGTCATTCGGAAAGAAAATTCAAACTTGATCTTCACTTAATGATTATGTACATGTATACAGATATATATTTTTCATTAAAATTGATAAAAACTGTATGTGCTCAAGACTATATGGGGGAAATATAAATGGACATAGACGCCAACAATATGGCATACGAATATATATTTACTGTCAACTGTCACCAGACTCTCATGGTATGTACAGTCATCATATAATATAGTGACTCAATATAAGTTATAAAGATATTGGCATAAAACTGTCAACTTACAAGACTCTCATGGTGTGTCCAGCCATCATATAATATAGTGACTCAATATAAGTTATAAAGATATTGGCATAAAACTGTCAACTTACAAGACTCTCATGGTATGTACAGTCATCATATAATATAGTGACTCAATATAAGTTATAAAGATATTGGCATAAAACTGTCAACTTACAAGACTCTCATGGTATGTACAGCCATCATATAATATAGTGACTCAATATAAGTTATAAAGATATTGGCATAAAACTGTCAACTTACAAGACTCTCATGGTATGTACAGCCATCATATAATATAGTGACTCAATATAAGTTATAAAGATATTGGCATAAAACTGTCAACTTACAAGACTCTCATGGTATGTACAGCCATCATATAATATAGTGACTCAATATAAGTTATAAAGATATTGGCATAAAACTGTCAACTTACAAGACTCTCATGGTGTGTACAATCATCATATAATATAGTGACTCAATATAAGTTATAAAGATATTGGCATAAAACTGTCAACTTACCAGACTCTCATGGTGTGTACAATCATCTCTATCATCATTAGAACAATACATAGGTCTGTGAGCCATTGTTACTATCCATGGTTGTTCATTACGGTTTATAGTTGCTTTCTGGAAATATATAAATACAAATCTGCAACCACTTGACCACTGACCTTTTGTGGCAGTGGAATAGTTCAGTCTGTAGTGAGTTGGATTTTCGTCAGCTAGGGGATTAGTTGGCATAGGTTGGAATTATCCTCAAGATGAGAAAAATTCTAATGCCAGTGCCAATATTTCAGATGGTAGGACCTGTGTCACTTGTCAATCCCTACTACTAAGCAAGCCTTTGTTCCCGATATAAGTAGTAAATATTTTCGATCTATTATGCACGTCAAAACACAGACTTCAAGGAAACAAGGGCCAAGATAGTTGGTAATAATTGAGAGCTCAAGATAGTTTTGACCTACCCTAAGATCGTTTTTCAGCCATTCAAACATTCGAGGAATCTGCATGATGCCATAATTGATATCAAAAAAATATTCTGTACTAAATGATATGATATGGATTGGTCCTACATTGAAACTGAAAAAAAAGAAAAAAGAACTCTATAATTCAAAAATATTGGGAAAGGTTGTGGCGTTGTAGGGGTTTTCTATTTCTTGTATATCTAATCTCTTCATTTCTGACACCTGCCGTTCTTTTATATCTGAATATACTTAATACAAACAATTAGAAGTGAAAAAAGGTCCCTGACACCCATAAAGAGCTAGATCCCTGATTACGTCTAGAAATTATTTATAAAAACTCTTTTTTACCTGTAGTACATTCTGTCTCCATTTTCATCTCCTGGCATAAAAAACCTTCTTTTATACTGAGTAAAATTACTGAAATAAAATTAGTGAAAGTCAGATTTTCCATGTCCTAGTGAAGCAAAATCTTAGCATGTCACATATTCAAAAGGTATCATCACCATATGGCACGTATTTCCATCACTTCAGAAAAACTAGTATGTATCTCCATCAGCAAGCCACTACAGCTCTTCTAAATAACTAGAGATCATGTTATGCTGCTGACACATTCTTTGGATACATAGCCATCATCAGGACAGGTAGTTTTCAAATAGATTGGCAAATGAGCAACAAAAGCCTCTAATGAATCCATATGGATGAATATGCGTGTGAATTCCATACTTACTTGGCGAATTCATGATTACCAGGACAAGTCATGTAAGGAAGATTAGCTGCCACTGGCTGTATGATATTCATAAAATTATCTCCAGTAGTACCACTGTACTGTAAATAGATAGATATAATAACATTATATCAGGTATAATATAACATCAATAAATACATAAACAGCAAATATATTATAGACTGACTAAACAATGCCCACATCTATAAATGTGAAAACTGTGGCTTGGATTTTTGGATTTACGCTTGTATAAATATTTGCGACAAAAAAATATATACTTACTGTATCTAAATTATAGGCGAAATCTCCTGAAACAGATAATAGAAAATATCTTATAGTCTATAAGAAAGTTAGACACATTCAGAGTTTGTTTTTCTCACAAAGGGCAATAACTCTTGTTTGAAATACATGAACCAATATGTTAAAAAGTTGAAATAACTCTTCTAATAATACATACTAATAAGAAAAGACATTCAACTAAATTTCTACTTTGTTAACCGTTTGTTGACAAGATGGTGACATCACAAAAAAGGTCTATGGCATACTGACATAGAACTCTGTCAGCTGGTAAAGCTAAGATCCTATATAATACTTACCAACATGTAGTGCCACATCATACATTCCATTTTGAATATCTTTATCAAGTCTGGGTACTGACTGACTGTTAATAAACCCCAGATCGCCATAGAAGACAAATCTGGGAGACCAATCATTGCCTGCTTTCATGGTGGTAAAAGTATAAACTGGACTCCATTGTCCCTTACTACCACAAATATACGCTGAAAAAAATAGAATGGAAGGGAGTTTTATGTTAGGTCCTCCTTTTGTGCTCATGATAACAAAAACAAGGGCAGATAACACCAAGTTGTGTGCAATGGAGAAAATTCGCATGGATACTACCACAAACATACACTGGAAAAGGACATAATGAAATTAAATGTTAGGTCCTAGTTTTCTGCTCTAGATTGGACTCTCACCAAGCAGTAGAATATATCGATAAAATTACTGTATTTAAGCCTTTCATTGCAATACTTTAAAAACAAGCTGAAACTGTACTGAGGCAAAGCCCAGTAATAAAGGTGTAACAACTGATTGGTACATGAATAAAACATTGATGAGGATACTGTCTGACTGCCTTGGCCAAACCTATTCGATACTTAAGATTAGTCTACCCATTTACAGCTGTGTTTAATGAAATAATAAAGAAAGATGACCTAATCAAGTCAACAGATGAAGTAACCAAACAAATGAATTTCTATGAAGATGCTTCAACTGCTATAATGCCCCCCCCCCCCCTCTCAATACCAACTATTCTTTAAGCTTCCATCAAACAAAAATCTGACTTACTGTATTTCGTAGCAGGTTTTAAACCAGATAAAGTCACATGATGTAAATATTGCACGTTTTTACCAGTGGCATCAACAAACTTGGACGATGTGCCGATGGTTTCATTACCAGACTCCAGATTATCGATGCCATAAACGACTATAGATTCTACAGTATCATATCTCGTGCTCCAGGTTACTGATATCTTGTCTATTGTTACTGAAAATGGAATGAGAACAAATTTGAATCAATACATGCAAATTAGAGAATGTATAAAATTGTATCTTATATCTTTTCCTTGATATGTTACTCATTGTTTCTTGTGATAAAAATTAGAATTTCTTCAAATATGTGTTCTGAACAGAATATTACAAAGGACCAAAAACAAAAGAAAGTCTTTAAAAAAGAGTGTACCCAGTATCTCAAGTTAACTCATATCTTGGGGACCAGTACGTTTGAGATTCCACCCCTTTGATTACCCAATTGGTATTTATAAGCCACCTAATTTAGGTTTAATTAAGTCATATATTGATAATATATATCTAAACCATATGATAACCTAAATGATAAAATAAAACGTGCTGAAATCCGGCCTAGATGCAGGGTGATAAGGCCTACATGCTAAAAATCACATATTCAACTTTCAGGGTTATAATTTTTCAGCAACTGCACAGCAATCAAATTTTGTCCATTTCTATTATAAGTGAATTTGAATACAAGCTTTACAGTTTCTTTAGAAATATTGTGATATCAACTTAAATCAATATTACTCAGCCCTAATGTATGAAACTATGAGAGGCTAAGAGAAGGGCTATTAATATTCATTACAACTAATAGGTAAATCACACCTTCATTCGAAATGGGAAATTGAGTCATGTTGTTTAATCTGAAAGAAGGCCTTAAAGATGGGTTTCCTTGTTTTTTAGAGTCAAATTAAACAAACTATTTGATTAATTGGTGTGTCTAATAAATTATCATGTATTCTTAATCATATCATTATGATATACTTTTATATATAATACATTTTGACCTTTCTTTATCGGACGATCATTGGAATTCTGCTGGTATTTCTATTCTAATTTAACTATGGACATGTGAAACAAACTGATATTTTTCTATGTTAGTCATAAGAACACCTCTTCTTTCTATTCAGAAATGAAAATAAGTGAACGTGCAATCTTTAAACAGTTCTGAGTTCAGTTTCTTTAGAAATATTGCGATATCAATTTAAACCAATATTGCCCAGTCCTAAAATAAAATGCAAGGCAACTTCTCAAATGCCTTCAGGCCATACTATAAATCAACCAAACAAGAAAGGAAAACGCATAATTATAAAAAAAAAAAATAGGGCAACTCTTGTTATGTAAATCATTACTTGATCTAGATCTATTTATCCATTCTCTGTCTTTAGTTTAAATGAAAACTATCGAATAAACACCTTAGATGCTTACCTCCTAAAGCGATGTGAACTTGCTGGGGTTCAAAAACACCAATTTTCTTTGAATTGGTCAAATTTATCAAAATTAACAGAGAAAACAAAGCCAACTCCATTTTCGTCTTCGCCATTTTGTATCTCACGTGATACGAGTAGTGATTGATCTAAATATAGACAACGTCAGTCCATTATGATAAAGGGGTAAAGTTTTTTTTTTAGACTAGTCCATTTTCAAGTTTTAAGTCAGGGGAGGTAACTGATAAGCGAATATTAAAAAAAAGTTCCACAACTTTGCAAATACATAGAATTTCAAGAGTTTTGTTCGTATCAAGTGTGTATAAATAGTAAAATAGTAAAGAACAGAACACAGGTCTGACTGTGATGTCAAAAGTTGCTCCCAATCTTATGAAAAATGGTCCAAGCTTTCTTTAAAACTATGTTTTTGGTTTAATTGTTTGTGGTCCGAGTTGTCTTGCACTCCTGGAATTCTACAGCTTCATGCATGCAACAAATTCCTTTAGATTTACATTCAGAAGTGAAAAGTATAAGTTATCATGTTGGTGAAATTTCATTTCGTAATCGACGTCACATAATTATGCAAATGACGTAATTGGGCTCCAGCACCATGTTCGATTAAACTACAGTCCTTTGCATAAAACGCAGATAATATACTAAATTGGTTTGCTGGCGCATTTATACCATTTTTCAATGAAAACTGTTTTTTTGTGGGGGGGGGGGGGGGAATTTCGGGATCTGATATGTTTATATTGCCGTCAATTAAGACGTATCAAATTATCAAATTACGCCTTGTAAATCAAGGCTAGATCAATATCTGTAATCTGCCTAATGAAATATTGATTAGTGATCCATCATCCAGACCTATATTTATATAGTAATTAATATAGTTAGCATTGTTTACCATTTAACCCCGTCTACTGACCAATAGGGTCATTTCGCATAACACACAGTAACCACATTTACACGAATCATCTCAAGACCATTGTTTCTTACTTCATGACCTAGGCCAGTGGATTTTCGCGAATACTATTCTTATCTCACTCTAACACAGTCTGAAAATTGTGATTTAAGCAATATATTTATGATAATTTACAAGGCCCTACATATGTATATACAAACTATGGTTTCAGAAACAGAAGGGTTCTGTGACTGTTTATAAAAGCTTTAATCATCGACTGGTTGGAATCCAGCTATCTCTCAAGCCCTGATAGATATATTCGTAGTGATTGGCTACAGCGAAAAAGACAATTGCTTTTCAAATTGATGCCAAAAAACGTGTATGATTTTTCAGAAATGTTGTACTTGTAGGCTACTCAAACGTTCTCCTCTGAACACTTGCAAAATAACTTATTCTTTACAAATTGTAGTCAATAGACGAGAGCTCTCTATTGCATACTGTATTGTATAAGTAACACAGTCAAGTACAGAAGAGTAGAGGACGTAAAACTCCATTTCATTTGATCACTATTAAGATTGTTGGTAAGGCCCCTGTGATTTAAATGACGTATAATATATAGTTATAAGTTAAACCCCTAATAATCCGTCTTTATCCGGACCTAAAGCTGCTTAAACCGTTATACTTTGATATTATATACCTTAAACAGTCGCTTTAGACTGATTGTATATATTTCATACAGTCGCCATAGATCTAAAGAGTATATCGTTTAAACATTTGAACACTTGATATAGAAACATCGTATATTTCGAACAGTCCGTTTATAGACTCGTAACCTGATGGTTGGTTTGTACGCAGGACCGGCTTAACAATAATATTGATTCATAGACTTGGAAATATCGGTGTATATAACACTCCTTTTTTACACATATATTGATATAAATTTGAAATGTGGCTAGAATAGGACTATTTTTAAATATTTTACAGCGTGTATGGTTTAGACGTTACTTGCTATGTAAGGTAAGAACTTTTCTTACTTATTTATAGATAGGGCTATTCTTTGACCTTAGATTAGTGCTTTAGACAAGTAAACTTTTTTTAAAATACACTTTTATTATAATTCGTAATTTCAACAGTTTTGCACTAGGAACGGAAATTCACCGTAGCTACCTTAGAAGCCGCATCACGGTTACAAAGTTTCAGTCGTTTGTTTGATAGATAAAGATAATATTAGAGCGAAACCAAGTTTTGAAAAATGGGTCCAGGGTTTTTTAACAGGAATGCTTGGCATCCGTGCTGCTGAGGCTTACTCGCAATTTTGACGCTCAAACGTTTACAGTGTATGTACATTTGGAATATGAACATGAAAGTAGGCTTTGTAATTTTGGCCCAAGAAGAACAAGAACTTACGAGAAGTGATGCAAGAAGCCCAAATTAAATTCCAGGCTCAAGACAAGCCTCTAATCGGCGACAAAGGTCTCCGACCAAGATCGCTCGTGTGCCCGCACCTTTAGTTATCAAATGGGGTTAATAATAATTGAACTGTGGTTAATTGAAATTTAATTGAAGCAAGGGAATGTTTTAAAACATGCAATCCAGAAATAATTTCAATTCGCCCATTGATAAAAGTCGGTAAACTGCAGACATTACATTCCATTGGGCGATAATCATTGTTTTTCTCGGAGATTTGATTATAACATCATTGGTACACGATATAGATCTCTTCTCAACCACAACTTGATATCAATCCACAGACATTTTGAAATAGAATCAGTAAAATAAAGAAAAAGTAAACTAAATCTAATAGGTTTCAGATCTGATAGCAACCAGACATGCAAAGGACAAAGAAGCGTAACTTGATGTTATTTTATAGACAAATAAATAGTAAAATAATGAAAATTTATACAGGAATCGATCTCATTCTGAACTTTGACTTAGAAGGGCATGAAATTGACCAATGTTTTATCTCATATTCTTCTAGGAATAGAGAAGTATGCTCTGATTATTAGATATCATTAAAGGGACAGAATCGCCTTTTTCGGTGATGATTTGGGTCTTGAATATATATAATACTACTAGAAGAAATGAAAAAATGATTCCTTCAAAATAACACAAACTAGGAATCTCGCTTTCTATTTTTATATATTATGTCTTTTCTATATTTGACAGAATATCAAGAAAAGACGAGTCGTTATTTTAACTTTCAAACTCGGATAATTCTGGACACTCAAGGATTTGAAAGAAAAAGACAAACCTGTCCCTTTAACTAGGTATTGTATGGTTCAATTGAAACTAATGAAGAGGTCGGAGGTCAAGTTAGTTAGTAAGGTTACTGAGATTAATTTCTACCTAAAGATTATGACTACAATAGATTACTCAACTATAGGACACTGTCATCATACAACTATTATAACTGGTTAAAACCTGGAGCTTTATTCTTAAAATCTTAACTAGGATAAAACCCAGATTTTAAGAAATACAGTAATCTGATTGGATAATGAAACTAAATTTAAAAGCGATTAAAGTGATTGCCCAATCAGATGACTGATACACTTACATCTTCTTAAGTTACGTTTTTGAGAATAAAACCCCAATGTTTCGGAAGAATAATGGGGTTGCTTAAACTTCGACACAAATGAATACCTTTGTAATTTTAGCAGCTAGACCACAGTCAAGAAATGAGAAAATAAAAAGGGACATGAAAATTAAATGAAACCCTGGTCAATTAGAATATCAATAAACTGTTTTTTGAAGAAATGATAAGATTGAAAATTGTGTGACATCGGAAATTGATTTGTTTTTCTTGTTTGCTTTTTTATGAAAAAAATTTGTCAAAGTTCCAAAGATTTAGCAACTAAACAGATGCAAATAATTGCTTATTTGAGATAAAAATTTTCTAAATTTGACAATATTTCGATTTTATTAATACGTTACCTAATCGTGCGGAGAGATAACTATTTTTTTTGTGATATTCTCTACTTTTAAGGTCGCAATAATACTTAACTGTAGTATTGTGTTAAACTATAGCAAGTAGATTGTAAAATATGCTGAAGATTGTCAGTGATTTGAGAGTTATAATGCTGATTGACTATATAGTATATTATCATTGAATGTCCAGGCCTATATAAATGATCATTATCTATAAGTACATGTACAGTAATTATATTTCTATGTAATAATATTCTGATCCGACTTGAGATAAATCAGGTGGAAAATCTACATTATTATTGAGGTTTAATTGATTAGGGTTGTTTATTCCACACATATAAAGTAAAAGTGTAGAACTATCTCATTTGAATTTTTCAATATAGGTAATAGATAAGATTAATAGGGTATTTATATTTCACCGATCAAAAATATTTTTGAGAATTCAAGAACGACATGGAGTGACGACTCTTAACTTTCATGGTTTGTTTTTAATTGTACACGAATGGAAAGTCCATTTTTTAAATTTGAAAAATAAAAGCTTAAAGAGCTTAAAAAATGAATTCTATATATTGAGAGTGTAAAAAACACCACAACTAAGAGTGCACTGTTCTTGGTCAGTATACGACCCCGGTTCCCAACCTCGGATGTTTTCACCTCCTTGGGGTGGGGGGCTAGGTTGTCAGGTGAAGAATTTATTTTGAATTGAGAGGGCATCTCACATCATCACATGCTGGAAATGTGGATGAGACAAATGTTTGGAGTGTGAAAGGCCCAAGTGTTTGCTCCACGGGTGTGAAGGCTGAAAAGGGTTGCGAACCACTGGTATATGACATAAGCTACGCCCGTAAGCCTTACAGTATCGTAAAGAAATGGGAGGTCAGTTTTTAAATCTGATATGTGACATGGATACTTATATCATTACTGTGGTTTTGTTTGTTTTTGTTTAAAGGAATAAAAAGTAAATTTGCAAATCTGAAAAGTAGAGAGCTAAAAAAACACTAGTTCTAACAATACTGTGGAAATTATATACCACATCATAAAGTATAGGGTCGGCGACATGTACTTCGTTATTATATTACATGCACCCGTAACCCTTACAATATGTCAAGGAGAAGAAAAGAAGTGT